TCATGGAGCCACTAGGGAAGGGACCCCTCCATTCGGCCATCTTCTGCCTTTTCCAGTTTCATTCATTCTTAATGGTGGGTATGCAGTTGTATTTCATTATGGTTTTATTTTGTATTTACTGGATGACTAAAGAGCTTTTGCATTTTCTTATGTATTTATTGACCTTTTAGACATTCTTTTTTTTGTGTGGCTTTTGCATCTCTTAATCATTATTAGGTTGTCTTTTTCTTGTTGGTTTGCAGGAATTCTTTACATATTCTGTATATGAGACCTTTGCTAGTTAGATGGATTGTTAACTGTTTCCTAGTACAACAAAGTAGATTGTCTTTAATTTTTTAATTACTTTGCAAAATATCTTTTCCCACAGTCTAATGTGCATTTTTACTTTCTTAATGTTATCTCTTAATGGGGACATATTTTTATTTTCAATGTTATTTTATTTGTTAATCGTTTCCTTTATGGCTAGTGCTTTTTTGTGTCCAATTTAAAAAATCTTTCCTTACTGCAATAGGTCATATACCTAATCTTCTGTCAGAGGGTTCACATTATTTTGACTTATATAGTTAGACCTATGGTCCATTTTTATGGCCCTTTACTTGGCCTAGCACTCATTATTGAAATGACCAGGCTTTCTCACTGCTCTCACCCCTCATCCCTAGTCAGGTGTCTGTACACTTGTGGAAATTCTGTTCTGTTACATTTACCATATGTGTGTCTTAGTAGTAAGTTACTTAAACTTTGTAATCAGTCCTGCAAGCTAGCTGGGTAAATCCTTCCACTCTGGTTTTCTTTTAAGATTGTTTTACCTCTGTCCTTGACCCTTTAAATTCTCTATAAATTTTAGAGTCAGATGGTTGGTTTGTATGAAAAGAGCAAGATTTTGATAGCCATTTTATTGAATCTATAATTTGGGGGAGAATTTAAGTTTTTATGGTATTGAATTTCTGATCCCTAAATAAAGCATATGCCCTGTTTTTAGTCAGCTTTTTTTGCTACTGTGACTCTAAAAGGACTCAACCAGAACAACTGTAGATGAAGAAAAGTTTATTTAGGGTTCATGGTTTCATAGTCTTTGTCCATAGAAGGCTGGCTCCATTCTTTGGGGCTCAAGGTGAGGCAGAGCATCACAGTGGAAAGAGTATGGCAAGGGGAAGCAGCTCAGAAAGTAGAGAGACTCCACTCATCAGATACAAAATATATACCCAAAGCCATGCCCCCAATGCCCCACTTCCTCCAGTCACACTCCACCTGCCTTCATTTACCACTCAGGAAATCCCTTCGGGTGATTAGTTCACTGATTTGAGTTAAGGCTCTCTTAAGCCAATCATTTCTTCTCCGCACCTTCTTTCATTGTCTCACATGTGAGCTTTTGGGGGATACCTCATATCCAAACCATAACATTTTATTCTTAAATAATGTTTTCTGGTTTTCTTTGTACATGTTGAACATCTTTTGTGGGGTTTGGTATAAATAGTGTGTTTAAAATTTGTTTGAGGTAGAATTCATGTACAACGAAGCACTCAGATCTTAAGGTCATTTTGATGAATTTGGATAATGGAGTATGCCTATGTAATAGCTATCCAAACCAAGATAGAGACTATTTCCATCCCTCAAACATTCCTGCTGACCTTTTCTAGTCATTTTTCTTCTCCTGCTCTCCAAAAGCAACCGCTTTATGACTTATGTGACCACAAATGGTTTTTTCCTGTTCAATGCATTTATGTATATTGTTAGCTTCTATTGTTCACATAATGTTTTTGGTATTCATTCATGTTGTATGAGTATGGTTAGATTGTTACTTTTAATTATTGAATAGTAGTTCATGGTTCTAATATACCTCATTTTATTAACCATCTCCTGTTGCTTAATATTTTTGTTGTTTTAGTTCTTGGCTATTATCAAATAAGGCTGTTGTGAACATTCTTGTACAAGTCTTTTGTGGACATACATTTTCTGTTTACAGTGGCCTGGGAGTGGAATTGTTAATTTTTCCATGCCTGGGAGTGGAATTGTTGAGTCATAGGGCAGATGCGTATATGACTTTTTAAAAAAAACTGGCAAATAATTCTCCAGTGGTCATAATATTTTATATCCACTCCAGTCATTTCTCTTGTGCCTCTTCCTTGCCACATTTGATTTTTTAAAACTACTAATTTAAGACACTCTAGTAGAAATTCCACTATAAGTTTTAATTTGCATTTTCCTGATGGCTGATGATGTTGAGCATCTTTTCCTATCTTATTGGACATCCCTATATGTTCATTTGGAAAGTGTTACACAGTGCTTTTTGCCTATTTAAAATTTTTTTGTTTATTCTTTTATTATTTTTATGGGAGTTCTTTAAATATTCAGCTTATAAGCCTTGTTGTATGTACATAAAAAGATAGTACATGCAATCATTTGTCATTTATGAGCTTGTGACTTGTCTGTTGATTTTCTTAATGATGGTTATTTATGAGAAAAAATAATTTTAAAATTTTTATATGATTGGTACTAATGTTAGATCTGTTCAACAAATATTTGCTTACTAAAAGTTAACAAAGATACTTGCCTTTGTTTTCTGTCTAGAAATTTTATGGTGGTCTGGGTTTTATATTTAGTTTTGCATTCATCTTAAATTAATTTTTGTGCTTAGAGTGGCACAGAAGTGAAGGTTTATTTTTTTTCCATATGCAAATTGAGTCCTTAGTTGCCCCCTTGGTTGAAAATAAATTGACTCTCTCTGTGTGGTTGTATTGTTAGACTCTTCTGTTCTGTTGTATTCGTGTCTGTTCTTATACTAATGCCCCCATGTTGATTATTAAAGTTTTATATGTCTTGAAGTACTACCATTAACTTAGTTTTCATTAAGGGTATTTTGGCTGTTTAGGTTATTTGCACTTACATATTCTTTTTAGAATCATCTCATATTAATGTTTTCAAAAGTACATGCTGTGGTGTTGTTAGAGATTATCTTGAATCTATAGATTATTTTATGAAGCATTAATTTCAGCAAAGGGGATGTTATGGTCAATTTATTTCTTTCTCTTTCTATGACTATCTATCTCATTATTTCCCTTCTGCCTAAAGAATGCTCATTATATTATTTACTTTAATGCTGGTCTGCTGGTAGGTAGTTTTTTTAATTTTTGTTTTTCTGCAAATATCACTATTTCCCCCTTCTTTCTTCATAGATACATTTTTTTTGTATAGAATTCTAAGTTGTTAATGATTTGTTTACAGAGTTTGTATATATAATTTTATTGTTATTTGTCCTACATTGTTTCTCTTGTATATTCAGCTGTTAGTTTTACTGTATCACTTTGAAGATAATTTCCAACCATCTCTGCCTTTGTTTTTTCTCCCATCGGATTGGGTATTGAACCTAGGGGCACTCATACCATTGAGATATATACCCCCACCTCCTTTTTTTTTCTTTTGAGACAAGGCATTACTAATTTATTGAGGCTGACCTTGAACTTGAAGTCCTCCTGACTTGGCTTTCTTTGTCACTGGGATTTCAGCCATGTGCCACTATACCTGGCTACTCCCTCTGTTTTTTAAGGAAATCTCTTTCCTTTAGTTTTCTAGTAGTTATACTGTGATATGTTTAGGTATCTATTTGTTTTTGTTTATATTATTTGAATTTTCTAGGCGATCTTGAGGTTTTATCAATTTGGGAAAAATTAATCACTTCAAATTTTGTTTCTGTTCCATCATTCCCTTCTCCTTCTCTTTTTGGGCCTTCTCAAAAATATTTGTTTGGATTTTTTCATGATGTGTCTCATATGTCTTTTACTCTTTCTTTCATATGTCCAAGTTCTTAATTCATTCTTTGGATAGTTTTTCTAATTCTCTCTTTAGCTATTTGTTACTTTTAATCCCATTCACTGAGTTCTTAATTTGTTTTTGTATCTCTTAGTTCTTACATTTTCATTTGTTTCTTTTTTTAGTGGCTCACAATTCTTTACTAACATACTTAGGCTTGTCTTTCATCTCCTTGAACCTAATAAGTGTAGTCTATGTCTAAGCTTGGACTTCCTCTAAGTCTAAAATTTGATGACCGCAGTTCCTGTGAATTTGTTTCTATTTTCTTATTATTTTCCTGATTTTTGCTCTAATGTATCTTGAATTCTACAAGTGTAATTGTGTTTGTGTGTGTGTGTGTGTGTATGTATTCTTGCATGCATACTGTTTTTACAAATAATGGATATTTACAAAGAAATATTGAAAGTACTACCTTCTTCCAGAAGAGGTGGCTTTTTTTTACTTCAGAGAAAATTTTTGTGTTTTGGTATATGTAGCCACCGACAAGTGGGATTAGTTCTATCTTATTTAGGCATTGAGATGATTTGATGCTGGGCTACCAGTCTTGGGAGTCTGCCTACTTCTTCTTTGTTCCCATCATGTATCTTTTTAGGGTCCCATCCAAAACAAGGGGATTTTGTTAGTGCCATTGTCCCTTGGTGGGACCTGGTTTTCTGCTTTGAACCTGCCACCCTTGCTGTTAGCTTTCAGGCTGCAACCACTTAAATTTTTAAATGTGTCTAGGGGAAACACATTCCTAGATTCTAGGATCATCTCTTTGGTGTTTGTCCTACCTTCAATTTCACTCAATAGTTTTTGGGTCACATTTTTCCCCCCAGTGTCTTGTAAATATTCATAGCTATGAGGAAGATGTACTTTATAGTTTTTCTTGTCTTGGCTAGAGAATTGGTCTGAAATATTTAATTTGCTTTAGTAAAAGATGATGAGTTGAATATTCCTACTATACAGTGTTTGTCATTTTTCTTAATCTCTTTTAAAATTAAGAGAAATGAATTTTTGGATCTTTTGTAAATGTCCTGTTGAGCAAGCTAATTCATGGAATTTTCTAATACTCATTTATTGTAAGTATATGATGCCAGAATCTACCATATTTTATTGAATCACTTTATAATTCAAAGTATTTAATTAAGAAGAAACTGTTAAAGCAATAATTACTTAAACTTTAACAATTTTCATTCTTTCTTACCATTCAGTATGTTGCCCATATAATGACCCTGAAGTTGATAAGTACCTCTGTTGTAATCAGGGAAAGTAAAAATATTCCAGAAATACTAAAAATTCAGATAATTGGCCTTGGCACTCAAGTATCTCAGCGACCAGGAGCACAAGCAGTGAAGTAAGTTTTAAAAAACTTATTATTTCAATTTTTATTTCTAATTATGATTTAGGTCCCAACGAAGGAGTATTATTCAGCATTAAATAAACTGATTAGTAAAAACTTTTTTCCTTTATGTAGGCCAAGATAGTCTTTTTTATATTTGTTTGTTTTATTTTGAAACTATAAAGCTAGTTCATCATTTTTTTCTACATACCCTCCTTTCCTTCACAAATATTATTAATCTATAGACTCTATATTGTGAAAGCTATGCATAGGTCCAGCAAATTTCTTTTTTCAAGTTGATAAGAGAGGATATGCAAAAAAACTCATAATTCAAGAAATATGTAGCATATTAACTCACTGTGAGAAGGTAATGTAAAATTAAATACCTCGTAGTCAGTGCTACACAGGCTCAGTTGTAGAAGAGAATAACTTGGCCAGGAGAAAACTTAAACTAGCTGAACAAGACACTAGGAGAAGTAGGGATGTGATGGTAGGTATTATAGGTCACTTGGAAATAGATGAGTTTGTCCATGGGGCATATGCTTTTATTTATATAGCAGTGAGCAGAACCTCTGCAGTACTCTTGGGTTGTCTAAAGTGAGTTTTTCATGTGAATGATATGGAGTTAATAACAATAACAACATCAGCAGCAACAAAAACAGATTGTATGGGTAATGAATGCCAAGCCAAGGAGATTGCATTTTAACTCTGGTAATGGGCATGAACCTGGCTTTTGAAGAAGTTTAAGGAAAACTTGTAATTTAACCCATTATATTGTAATGGATATTATTACTTCCTCCCTCCCACCCCACATTGATTGTAGGATAGAAGCAAAATTAGAACACTGGTATATAACAGGTCTGAGACAGCAAGATACTGTACCATCACTTGTGGCTTCAATTGGTGATACTGCATCATCTTTGCTTAAAATTGAGTTTGAGACTAATCCGGAGAATAGTCCTGCTGACCAGACCCTGATTATTCAGTCTCAGCCTGTAGAGGTCATCTATGATGCTGTAAGTACAAGGAGAAAGTAATTCTATTGAAACCGTCTTGTATTTCTGATGTATGTTTGTCTTATTTCTCCTCTTTCATATTTAACATTTATTAATAGGTAAGTTTCCAAACAGTTTTATTCTTGTTTCAAAAGCAGTGCACAATTAGTGGTTTATTTTGATTTTTCTTATATTTTTCTACCATAAAGTTTATTTATCTCTGCTTATGTTAAGTTTAAAAAAATACTAGTATATTAGAAAGAGTTTCATGTTCATTTTACCAACTATTCCCAAATAGTTCATACTGACTTCCTACTCCAGTTCCTTTCAACTTATTCTTCCTTTGCTTTCAATGTTTAGAACCCATTCAGAGTGGCTTGGGAGTGATGAAAAAGAATTTCAGTGTTTACATGGGGAGAAGCACTGGCATCTAGGTGTCACTGAAAATGTTGGCTCAGGTTCTGAATCTGTGGCTGTGCTGTTGATTCTGCCTGTCTTCACACCAGCAAGATAAGCCTGGCTTGCGTCTCATCACACCACTTACAGATTGGCCCTACCATCACTTATTTTTACTTTACAGTTTAGAGCTAGATTAACAGTGTATGTGAGAAGCAATCTATAAAGACTCTAGAACTCATTGTATTCTCTAATGTTTTAAGAAAATAAATTGTCATTAAATTCACATAAAAATACCATCTTGAACATTTTTAAGTATATGCTTCAGTACTGATACATTCAGTCACGCTGTTATACAACTGATCTCCAAAAATTTTTTCATCTTGCAAAATCTCTGATTTTTCTTTTCTTTTTTCTTTTTTTTTTTTTTAATGTTTTCTTTTAGTTGTAGATGGACACAATAGCTTTATTTGTTTATTTTTATGTGGTTCTGAGGATCGAACCCAGGGCCTCACATGTGCAAGGCAGGCACTCTATTACTGAGCTACAGTCCCAGCTCGAGCTACAGTCCCAGCTCCCTGAGTTTTCTTTTTTACTTTTAATTTTACATGCCAGTAAAGGTGAACAGCTTTCCTTATTGCTCTAAACTTCAAAATTCAAACATCCAATTACAGTTTCAATAAATGGAGTTTTACCATCTAATTGGAGGCTAAAACCAGAAGTAATGTCTTTTGCCACATATGTCACTATAGAAAATATTTGGCACCTTAATGATATGTACTAATCTGTGGCCTCTCCAGAGGAAGATATAGTATTAACCTCAGAATATCTTTAGGTTTCTCAGTTCAAAGCGACAGTTTTTTAGAATTGAGTTGAAACCTTAAAATTTATAATATAGCCGGTGTGGTGGTGCACACCTATGAGCCCAGCAGTTTGAGAGGCTGAGACAGGAGGATCATGAGTTCAAAGCCAGCTTCAGCACTAGCAAGGCTCTAAGCAACTGAGTTAGACCCTGTCTCTAAATAAAATACAAAATAGGGCTGGGGATGTGACTTGGTGGTTAAGTGCCTTTGAGTTCAATCCCCATTCCTACCCCCCCCCCCCCAGTTTATAATATAGAAGAATTATGTATAACTTAGTTGTATTTTAAAATTCTTTTACAGAAAACCATAAATGCAGTAGTTGAATTCTTTCAGTCAAATAGGGGATTAGATCTTGAGCAGATAACATCAGCTACATTGATGAAGCTGGAAGAAATTAAAGAGAGAACAGCTACAGGTAAAGAATCTGAGTGTCTATATAAGCATCAACTAAACTTTGAAAATGTTGTCTAATCTAATGTAAACATTATATTTAAAATCATATAGGTTGTTTTCTTCTTTGATTTGTATTCAGGCTGTATTATTTAGTGGACATAGCTTAACCAAAGCCAAATATACTTTCTACACCAGATGAGAAAGAATAATATCTGGCACACATGGTTCTTGCCTGCATTATTTATAGGAACGTTGCCTCAGAATGGGCTTGAGGTGGAAATATCCCTCCATCTCACTTCTTAAGAAGTTGAATGACTAATTTTAAAGATATAGGTTTTTGTATAATGTGGCCTCTAAACTCAAGTCAGCTATTTTATCTGGTTGCTTAACCAGGGAAATAGTAAATCATTCTGTCTTTAGATAAAATTGTAGCTGTGTTGGGTTTACTGTACTTATGTGTGCTGATGTGATCATAGCCTATTGAATAGATTCAGTTTTCACCTCATATGTTGAATTGAGAATCTTTGAGAAGAATTGAAACTCTTCCTAATGCTTTTGAAGTAAAATTCTTAGTCTGATTGTTAATAGTATGATCACTAATACTTAACTTGAACTTCTAATCATTTTTTTTTTGGTCTTCTGTAGGACTTACACATATTATTGAAACTCGAAAAGTCCTTGATTTAAGGATAAATCTAAAGCCTTCTTATCTAATAATTCCACAGACAGGTTTTCACCAAAAAAAGTCAGATCTTCTCATTTTAGATTTTGGTACATTTCAGGTATGTATATATGCATTTTTGTTTTTGATAAGCTTGGTAGCTTGATATCTGATAACTTGCAGTTTTTTCCCTCACGGTTCACTTAAACTAAACATAGACTTACTTTTTCCAAGCCTAGCTTAGAATATTTCATATATATTAGATGCTGATTAAAATAAAACACCCCAGAATTTTCTGTAATGGTAGATGATTTGACATTGAGGACTACTTTCGTCTTTTCTGAATTGGAGATAAACAGTTTTCATGGTTTGTAAAGTTTAAGTATACAGTGTTACTGTTGCTAATATATTTTGACATTAGGAAATTGTACACTAGGAGCATAGGTTTGTTTTAACTACTGTCAGTAACTAAGTATTCTTCCCCCAACCCCCTTGTTGTATGTTAGCATCCACATATCAGAGGGAATATTTGACCTTTGATATTTTGGGATTGTCTAATTTGATTTAGTATGCTAGTCTCCAGGTCTTTTCATTTACCAGCAAATATCATAAAGTCATTCTTTATGGTTGAGTAATATTCCATTGTGTATATAAAGCATACTTTCTTTATCTGTTCATCTGTTGATGGGCACCTAGGTTGGTTTCATAGCTTAAGCTATTGTGAATTGTGCTTTTATAAACATTGAGGCTGTGTCACTGTAGTGACATTTAATTCATTTTAACTCCATTGGGTAAATACCGAGGACCGGGATAACTTGGTCCAGTGGTGGTTTCATTCTTAGTTTTTTTGAGGAACCTCCATACTGCTTTCCAGAGTGGTTGTACCAATTCATGTGGAAAAATAAGAGGCCCAGAGCAAAAGCAATCCTTAGTGAGAAAAGTGAAGCAGGAGGCATCACAATACATGACCTTAAATTGTACTACAGAGCTATAGTAACAAAAATAGCATGGTATTGGTACCAACTACATATGAAGACCAAGGGAACAGAATAGAGGACACAGAGACAAACCCACATTAATAGTATCAAACTAGTCAAAAGTGCCAAAAACATACATTGGAAAAAAAATAGCCTCTTCAACAAATGGTGCAGGGAAAATTGGAAATCCATATGTAGTAGAATGCAATAAAACCCCTGTTTCTTACCCAGCACAAAACTAAACTCAAAGTGGATCAAAGACCTAGGTATTAGACCAGAAACCCTGCACCTTCTAGAAGACAATATAGGCCTAACTCTCCATCGCGTCAGCTGAGGAACTGACTTCCTCAACAAGGCTCCTAAAGTGCAAGAAGTAAAATAAAAAATCAATAAATGGTATAGTATCAAACTAAAAAGCTTCTTTACAGTAAAGGAAACAATCAAAAGCATGAAGACACAGCCTACAGAATGAGAGAAAATCTTTGCCACCCACACCTCAAATAAGGTGTTAATTTCCAGGATATACAAAGAAATCAAAAAGCTTAACAACAAAAATCAAAAACAAAAACAACAACCCAAGCAGTACATGGGCAAAGGAACTAAAATAGATAATTTTCAAAAGAAGAAATACAAATGGTCAATTAATATATGAAAAAACTCATCTCTAGCAATTAGAACTCCTATATTTTGAATTTTGAATCTTCTGGAAAAGGTGACACTTTTAAAAAGTATAGTCCTAAATTTCACTGAGAAGGAGGAAAAGAAAGTAGAGATTGGAACTGAATTCTAATGGCCTAATTGCTTTCATAGCATAGCTAGGAAAAGGAACAGAACCCTGCTATTTAGGTGAAGGATGCAAGGTGTAGGGGAGCTGAGTCCTAAGCCATACCTTCTGAGAGCCAGGAAGAAGAGTTTCCTTTTTAGTCAGGTTATTTGAGGCAGACAGCTGAGTAACTGATCTAATTATTGAAAATGTGCTTGGCACCTATTATTCAAACATAGCAGATGTATGATAAAATATTATACTCCTAATAAAGTACTGTAAGTAATTACCAATAAATTAAGTAAAGTCTGGATTCTTTAAGGGTAATCTTCTCATTTTAGTTAGATTTTTTTTTAATTTTTAATTTTTTTAAATTTAAATATGACAGCAAAATGCATTATAATAATTCTTATTACACATATAGAGCACAATTTTTCATATCTCTGGTTGTATACATAGTATATTCGCATCAATTCATATCTTCATACCTGTACTTTGGATAGTAATGATCATCACATTCTGCCATCATTAATTACCCCATGCCCCCTCCCTTCCCCTCCAACCCCTCTGCCCTATCTAGAGATCGTCTATTCCACTCGTAACCGAAGTGTTGATGTAAGTACTTTCCTCTTGTGAAAAATTTAAGAAATTTTTTCCTCCATTTTAGCTCAACAGTAAAGATCAAGGTTTACAGAAAACTACTAATTCATCTCTGGAAGAAATAATGGATAAAGCATATGACAAGTTTGATATTGAAATAAAGAGTGTGCAACTACTCTTTGCAAGAGCAGGTAAACCACTGCTCATCCTTTAAGGTCTTAGGTTGAGTGGCTTTAGTAGTGTATGTATATATGTATATGTTTATGAGTTCTGACAACTGTTTTCATATATAGCCTGTAGAACACCAAACAGGACTTACCAGTGCAAATCACCATCACAGTTAGAAATAGAAATTTACCTAGCAATATTTTTATCTAAGCCCATTTTTGCAATGTAGCTGTTTTATCAGCTCAGAATACAAAATGAAAGTTTCATTTGGTTCAAGTGCTTCTGTCCTAATGCTTTTGGAATGTTTCAGTGTTTTCCTTAGTATTTTTATTATTAAGTATTTTACTGCATTAGCCTGTGCTTCTTTTCAGTACTACTTTAACTTCTGCTTTATAGATACTTGAGAAATATATATCTACAATATAGTACAGGTTAAACATCCCTAATCCAAACATCCTAAATCTGAAATGCTCCAAAATATGAAACTTTTTGAGTATTAAAATGACACCACAGTGAAAAATTCTCCTGCTCTCATGTGACAGGTTATAGTCAAAATGAACATGCACTAAAATATTGTGTAAAATTAATTTTCATCTTACTTGTTTAAGGTATATATGAAATATGAATGGATTTTGTTTTTAGGCTTGAGTCCCATCCCCACGATATCTAATTATGTATATGAAAATATTCCCACACCCCCCAAAATTTCTAAATCCAAGGCATGTCTTCTGGTCTAAAACATTTTGATTTAGGGGTACTTAACCTGTAGCTATAGTCCTAAAACTTTAAAGATAATTATTTTTCAAAAGCTTTTGTGTTTTATATTGCTTAAGTATAGATTTTTGGTCCATTGTACTTCAGTTTCTAGAGGCAATAAGTATAAACCATCCTTGAGTATATAACCCTTTATAAGTCATTGGAGGAAGGTACAGACATAATCTCTAAAAGCAGGATTTATATTCTTGTAGGATTTATAAAAACATAAAGAAAATGTTGGATTTTATGTATTAGGAACCTGTTAATTCCTTTAGGTGAAGTACTTAAACAGATGATTAAAACTGCCTTTTCTCTTATACTTATCTGTGAATAATTGTTTGACTTACAAGGTATAAAAGCCCATCAATAAAGATCTGCAAAGGATCCTTAGCCACTGGGAAATCTGTTTTTCAGATCTCTTTTTTTGAAGAATGGTGATTATTACACATGTTTTTTTGGTCAAAAAAATTAGCTTGATAAAATATTTTTGCTTTGAAATTAAATGCTAAGCTTGTATATCTATTGCACTTAGGAACCATAAACTTATTTTTTTTCACCTGTGTTTTCTCTCTTCACTATACCCACTCACCTTGATCACCAATTGTAAATTGAGGTAATAAATGCCTGTTTTTTTTTCCCTTTTTGTTTTGAAATGCAAGGTATTATCGTATAAATGTTCTCCAAACATCTAGAATCATTTTTATATCACAAACTGACTTCTGTCAGTCTATATTGAAAATAAAGATTATTTAACTTGTTTGCTGAAAGATTTAAAAATTTGTGTTCATTGACTCTGATAACTCTTTTTTAGTAACTCAGAGTAGTTTTCCACAGAATATCTGATAATTTTTTAAAAATAATATTTTAAATTATTTTTTTTAAAGAGGAAAACTGGAAAAAGTGTCGATTTCAGCATCCGTCAACTATGCATATATTGCAACCAATGGATATCCATGTTGAATTGGCCAAGGCAATGGTAGAGAAAGACGCTAGAATGGCCAGGTAATATATGCACTGCTTTTGTATTAGAAATCAACAAAGTGACCTATATCTCCATAAGTTACTAAATTTTAAGGAAGCAAAAAATGTATCTCTGCGAGCCAGAAAAATACTGAATATTCTGTCTTGGAGCAGAAATAACATTTTAAAGAAGACATTTGTTTGAATTATATCTCATATATCTCATTTCAGCATTCTTATTTGAATGTTGTATGAAAGTTGATAATCCATGTTTTTGAATGGATTCAATTCAGGATTCAATATCCATAAAATAAAATCTTAAAAAAAAATTAGAGGCTATTTTCATCTTGAAACCATATAAATTGTGAGAAATGTAGGAAAAAAATAGAAAATGAATTTTGAATTTAAATAGATAATTGTGAAATTATGTTGCTGTTTAAAAACCAGCTTTATTGTGGTATAATTCTATAAGCTGTATCATTTAAAATGTCCAATGTAATGAAGTTTTGACCTATGTATAGCTCCATGAAACTATTATCGCAGTCAACGTACTGAATGTGTCTATCACCTCCAAGTCTCTCTTTCCCCACCTAACTCCTTTCCCCTAGTCCCTAGGTGACACTGTATATTTGTGTTTTCTGACACTCTACATTTGTTAGGATTTTCTAAAATTTAATATGAATAGAATCATAGAGTTTTTGGTTAGCTATTTTCGGCATGATTTATTTGAGATTCATTCATATTGTTGCATGTATCAAATAGTTCCTGATACCCTTTGTCAGATTGATGTTAAACCAGCCTTTCCTTACCAGATAAATCTTACTTGGAAATAATGTATTAACCTTTTAAAATATTGTGGTCTTTGCTTGCAGAAATTTTGTTATGAAGTTTTATATCTATGTTGATTGGGGGGGGTATTGGTTTGTGCTTTTCCTGTTTTGTTATAAGGGTAATGTTGGTTATCTTGAAGATCTATGGAATTGGTATTCTTTCTTTTTTATATGTTAGGTAGATTTAGCAATAAAGCTATCTCAGCTTGGAATTTTCTTTGGAGATAATTTTAACTACACATTCAGTTTCTTTTGTAGATACATGTCTATTCAGATTATTCCTTAGAGTGCTCTTTTGTGTATTTTAGTTGTTTTGAGCAAAGGTTTGAAGTATGTTTGCAGTGATTTTTTTTGTATATTTCAAGAAATATATTCATCTTGGTTATTGAGTTTACTGGCATAAAGTTATTTTTGTATTTTCATATTACATTTTTAACACCTTAAGAATCTCTAAGGTGTTAAATCTCTAAGTTAAGTGATCTTAACTCTGTCATTCCTGATATTAGTAATTCATGTCTTTTCTTTATTTTTCTTAATCTGACTAGTGTTAATCAATTTTGTTGATCTGAAAGAACCCATTTTTGGTTTAAATTATTTTCTATATTTTGTTTCTATTTTTTTAATCTTCCTGATTTCTACTCTCCTGCTTATTTTTGTTTTCCTCTGCTTACTTTGAGTTACATTTGCTTTTCATTTTTAGTTTTGTAAGATAGAAGCTAAAGTAATTAATTTGAGGCTTTTTATTTTTCCTGATATAGGCATTTAGTACTATAAATTTCTCCCTAAATACTGCTTTATTCTACCCCAATAATCCACCTAGCAATTGGGCATCTGTCAACTTGAACTGTTCACAGTTTAGTCAGGAAGCCAAACATAAACCTAAAAGAGCTCTTTGAGTAGCAAATAGCTGCCAGGAAGCTATTGACACAAACAAATGTCAAGCAGTTGTATTGAGTAAGGAACAGAATAGAGCAGCTGCCCAAATTTACATGACAGATAAATACAGGCTTGGTGATTTACTAGTTAAATGGATGTCCTCATGGAGCTTACATTTTAATCAGGAGACCCAAAATAAACAATTGTACAAATGATATGTCAGGTGCTTCCCACTGCCATACATATAAAAAATAAAAGTGAGAAGATAGAGAATAATGGGGTAGGTGTTCTTTGATACTGATAAGAAATCAGAGATTTTAGGAAATAATGTATGTGTGGTGATTTTGGTTTTAAAAAGTAGACAATTGTGAAGGATTGTCATAACAATTAGTTAATGTAAAAAGTTCTAACTGCATAAGAATGGAACACTTAAATTATCTTACATAGAACTTTCCATTCCCTGATAATGTTGTCTAAATGAAGCATGAGTGGAATTAGATTAAAACATGTCCAAAGCAACTTTGACTTGACAATATAGTCCCTTCTCAAATTTATCCCCTCTTCACAATACAGAGAAGCTGACTTTGAAACCTTATAGTTAATTTATATTTTTAGATTTAAAGTATCAGGAGGACTTCCTTTGATGCATGTGAGAATTTCTGACCAGAAGATGAAAGATATGCTGTGTTTGATTAACAGTATACCTTTGCCACAGAAATCATCTACACAGTCTGCAGAGAGACAGGTAAGTGGTTATAATAGATATACTGAAGCTTCTCTTTTCACAGAACTATCATTCATTCATTCATTCATTGTACTGGGGATTGAACTCACTGAGCTACATACCCAACCCTTTTTAAATTTTATTTGGAGACAGGGTCTCACTATGTTGCCCAGGCTGACCTTGAACTTTTGATCTTCTGCCACCACACCCACGCCTGATTAGAAAATTATTATTTTTAAGTATTCATGGAAAGTTAGATTTATGGAATTTGTGACTGAAAGGACAAGAAATAAAGAAATGAAAGTAAAAACGTTATCAATTTGTAAAACATTTTAAATAGAGCCCAAAATAGAAATCTTCTTTGTTAAATTGCCAATAAACTAATGATATAAAATTTTCTTATATGTAGGACTTAAAAGTTCTAGATCACTTTAATTATAATGATCTTTGTAGCATAAAAGAAATGTTGTATTTTTACTTACTTTGAAATGAAATATCAGAGAGTCCACTGATGGTGATACCATTTTGCAGGGACCTGTATAAACGTGCATTTTAGTATTGTTGTTAGCAACAACTAAATGACACAGAATGATGAAATAGACTTGCCTACTGGAGTTATATTTAGTTTTGTCTTTGTAAATGTGGATGTTAAACTTAATAATTTATAGAATCTAACCAATTATTAGCTGATTACATGAGATGTCTTATTAGAAAGTTTGTGTATTGTGTGTATGTATCTTTTCATCTCTGCCTTCTATTACTTTTTGTTCTTTGCCTCATTTATGTATATTTAGTCTTGCTAAATCAGTAATTTTAAGAAAGCTTTTTATATTCTTTGCCAGATATCCTCAATTCCTATTATTTCAGGAGGGACCAAAGGTCTACTTGGTACTTCACTGTTGCTAGATGGAGTGGAATCAGGTAAGAAATATAAACTGTTGCCAAGCCAAGCCTATAAATTGTTACCTAGAGATAACATTTTCAAAAAATAAAGGAATTCTGAAAGTATTATAGTAATTTACTGGTTCTACTAATGAATGCTGTGACTTTGGGTCACTTATTTTTTTTAAGCTCAGCTGCCTTCATTGGATGAATGACAGTTTGTGATTGATAGTACTTAAGATTCTAAATAAGTTACTTTATTTTAGTTTTTGCTTCATTCTCTTTGTGATACTTTTTTCTATCCTGGTCTGATTTCTTTTAATTTTGAACTAGAATGTAAGCTTTGAAAAGGCAAGATCATGTCTATCCTGGGCATTTATAAGATAGGTGATCCCAATAAATATCTTACTGCATATTGAATAAATGAACTAAGGTAAAAAGCAGAATTATTTAAGTGAAAACAGTAGTGCTATTTGACTTTTAATTTGATTGTCACATGCCAAATTAAATCACTTTATGGAACTTTTAAAATTCAGACTTTTGAGTCTGTATATGAAGTTTATATCTAATGAATTTTACTTTTGGGAAATTCAGGTTTGAGTGTTTTGTGCAGTTTGCAGTGGATATTATGTAAGACTAAATGAATATCTTTTTCCTTTAGAGTCTGATGATGAGTATTTTGATGCTGAAGATGGAGACTCACAGATTGCTAAAAGTATCAAAGGAACAGAATTTAAAAAAGCTGCAGAGATTCCAAATGAGGAACTCATTAATCTTCTACTCAAGTTTGAAATTAAAGAAGTACGTAGACTTTTTGTCCACAAATATATTTTTGTTGCCACTATCTTCTTAACTATAAGCTAGACCCAGGTATCAAGTATATTGAAAATGTGCTCTGCCTTTCTTACTGCCCAATGCATGTGCATGCTTACACTTAAACATGTGGGCTGTTTGAAAAATGAAATACTGTTTTTAAAGAACAATGTAAGGATGACCCATGGGAATAATCCCATCTATTCTGGAATTGCCTGAGACTATTAATTAGAATTTGCATTTCTGCAGAAAATCTCTGTGACATTTATTTATTTATTTATTTGTGATTTCCACTTTTGTGTTGAATAATATTATTTATTGTCATGGTTATAATTTGGAAAAATGTCAACAACCTAAAATTACCAACGTGTTTTTTTTATTGCTTTTAAAGTCATATAGTAAAAGAAAACCTGGAAAGATATTTACAATATAAAACTGGAGAAAAAACATTATAATACCAACGATTATAAATCCATTTAAAATTATGTGTATACATTTTCTTTGTTTAATAATAGTTGTTCATGTCTGGATGGTGGGATTATAGTTTTTCATTTTTGCCTGTTTCCTTTTTCATATTCTAAATTTTGATAATAAGTTTATATTACCTTGGTAACAGAAAACAAAACATAGTAGAGATGTTTCTTATTGATTGTTTAGATCCTAAAGTGAGAGCTTATCTAAAATAATGTCAGATATGAATTGTGTGTACAAATATAAGTATTATTGGTATTTGTTTTAAAGAGAGGTATGTTTTCTACCATTAGCCTTCTTTGACTTCTCTTTTTCTTTTATACTTTGATCCACAATATCAGTCAGTCCCTTGACTCTTCCAAATGCATTCAGATTATGGCTCTTCTCTTCCATTGCTACTGTACTGAGTTATCATTATCTCTTACCTGGATCATTGCAGTAGCCTCTTAACTATCTCTATTTCGATCGAATACTATGTTCTCCATATAATAGCCAAAGTGATCCTTTTAAAGTGAAACTCTAATCATATCACTATTCTTCAAAACCCCTGGCTTCATATCTTTCTCAGAGTAATGACTCAGTCTTTACTGTGGCCTGTAAGGCCTTCCACAGGTCACCCCACATGAATGTTTGGCTTTGTTTTTAGTTCTTTCCCACCTTGCTCACTCTGCTTCAGTCATATTTCGTTTATTCCTTCAATAAATATGTATCCAGGTACCATCATGTACCAGTCATTATACATGAAGGAAACAATAGTGAGGAATGTTTCTGCCTCATGGAGTTTACACTTTTCTTTTTTCTTTTTTATGTATACCAAAGCACATTCTTTGTGCTTGCCTTTTCCTTTGCCTGGGACACCCTTTTCCTGCATGGCTTGATTCTTTACTTGCTTCAGGTATTGCTCAAATGTCATCTTATTGCAAAGTCTTGATCACACAACACATGATAGCAATGTTCATTTTCTCTAGAATATATCTTCACTAGGACAAGGACCATGTCTGGTCTGTTTTCCTTGGTGTGTCCTTGGTTGATGGCATAGCCTGATACATATTAGAAAATACCCAGTAAATATTTCATTGAATATTGAATGATGAAGTAAAGTGAAAAACAGCCAGACACTGAAGGAAAAAATAGTATTGCTATTTGAAAATGTTTTCCCAGTGTGACTTTTTTTTTTTTTTTTAAACAATCTTGAAGTTATAAATATTTTGCAGGCTGGAGATAGAGCTCAGTTGGTAGAGTGCTTGCCTCCCATGCAAAAGGCCCTGGGTTCAATCCCCAGCACAAATAAATAAATAAATCGGTAATAAAATTTATCTTTATGTCCTACTCTTAGTGTATATTTAGAAAATTATCATAAAAATACTTGGTTGGCATGGTGGTGTCACCTGTAGTCCCAGCACATAGGAAGCTAAGATAGGAGGATCCCTTGAGTTCAGAAGTTGAACACCATCCTGGGTAACATAGCAAGACCCAAAACAAAAACAACAAAAACTCACCCATGATTTTATATATTACTTTTTATATCATTTAATAAAAAATTTATTTCTATGATGTTTATTTTTGTTTATCACTTTTATATTTATACTTTTTTTGTGTTATCAGAGATTGAACTTGGGGGCACTTGACTACTGAGCCACATCTCCAGCCCTATTTTGTATTTTGTTTAGATACAGGGTCTCACTGAGTTGCTTAGGTCCTTACTAAGTTTCTGAGGCTGGCTTTGAACTTGTGATTCTCCTGCCTAGGCCTCCTGAGCTGCTGGAGTTACAGGCATGCACAATCGTGCCCAGCTGTACTTAATACTTTATTGTGCTACCTTTTGTTATCTTAGTGTTATTCTGCTAACACTCCTGGTTTTTCTTAAGTAAAATTGTGTGTAATTAAGTATAATTGTGTCATCTGCTAGTAAGATTAATTTTAGCCTTTTTTTGTTCAGCATTTTTGTCATTCTGATTACTATTCTTGGCTGTCAAATTACTCTAACAGGAGCTTAAAACAGCTATTTTAGTTTGCTCACAGTTTGTGGGTTAGGAATTCTAGAAGGATCCAACTGGGTTATTTTATGTATAGTCTTTCATTTCAGACATGTATTGCTTGGGGATGCAATCTGAAGTCCATGGTGGATGTCCATAGTTGTTCACTCACTAGGCTGCTAGCTCCTACTGGTTGTAGGCTGGGGGCCCTGTTGGGGCTATTGTCTGAAGCACATATTCAGGCCTTCCCCCGAATGATAGTGTCAGGGTAGCTGAACTTCTTACATGGCAATTAGCTTTCTCTAGGGTCAACTTTCTGAGGTGGGAGTTTAAAATTCTGTCATCAGAATTTATTGCGAGGTGACCAGCATCCCACTAGGGTAGGTTCCTGCTTAGGAGGTGTGAGACGCCTGGAAGTAAAAAGTCTGAAATAATTAGTAAGAAATAAAGACAGAGCCAGACATTAATAAAAAGGGAAGCATATAATAGGTTTTTCAGTCCTGATAGGAGCTGGAACTGAACAACTAAACAAAGGGTCTGATTCTTTATTTAAGGGGGAGTACATCAAAGGCAGGGTTAAGGTTTCAGCGGGAGGAGTTCAGTGCTTGCTTCTCAATGTAGCTGGGGTCTTGCAGTAAACAGGTTCATTGGCATTTTGTCAAGCTGCACCCATCTCTGAGAGGCTTTGTGGCTTCAGCGAGTCACCCCATCTCCGGTGCGGTGCTGTGCTGAACTTGTGATGGAGCGAGGTAGGAAACCACATGAACCAGACTTTCTCAAACTAGCAGGGTTGCTGCTGGAAGTTTCCCATACCAGGCTTTCCTCCCTAAAAGGCTTCAACATCATTTTAGTTCACTCACAGTTCATGGATAGCTTCCTGCAAAATTCATTATAGTATAATTTTTTTTACACGCTATTGATTGAAGTATTCACAAGCCTGGCCAGGTTGAAAAGGTGGGGACAAAGATTTCTACCTTTTGATGAGTATGTTAAAGAACTTGCGAGTTTTAAAATATTGCCACGTGTGCCTGGTGTGGTGGCATATGTCTGTAATTCCAGTGGCTCCGGAGCCTGAGACAGGAGGATCACAAGTTCAAAGCCAGCCTCAGCAACAGCGAGGCACTAAGCAATTCAGTGAGACCCTGTCTCTAAATAAAATACAAAATAGGGCTGGGGATGTGGCTCAGTGGTCTAGTGTCCCTGAATTCAATCCCCCAGTAACCCCCCCCCCCACCAAATTGCCACACATGTTCTTTTTTTTATTGGCTGAATATATTGTCTGTAATTTCTAGAATTAAGTAGTAGTATGCTAATGAACATTCTTGTCTTACTTTTCACTTTAATAAAATGCTTTTGGTGATGCTTCTGTCATCACCAAACATGACTTATTTTAAGAAAATCATATTAAGAATTCGTAGTTTTTCTATTTTTCTAAATTTAAAAATCAATAATGTTAAATTTTATAAGAATATTTTATAAGTGTACCTATATTCTTGATAATAAAATTTAAGATAATAATTTCCAATCAGGAATATGAGTAGTGTTTCCATTATTGTCATGGTGACATGTATGGAGAAAGATTTTGGTTTTCTTATTTTAAGTATGACATACACTTTTTTTATTGGATGTGATAATTCTTTTAGGTGATTTTGGAATTCACTAAACAACAGAAAGAAGAAGATACAATTCTAGTATTTAATGTTACACAATTAGGAACAGAGGCGACAGTAAGAACATTTGACTTAACTGCAGTGTCTTATTTAAAGAAAATAAGCTTGGATTACCATGAAATTCAAGGTAATAGTTTAAAAAATAGAAATAATGGCCAGTAATAAAAATAGCACTTTTGTGTGTCTGAAGCACTTTTATTTACATAATAAATAATAGCAAATACTGTTCTACAGTATTCACTACAAATAATAACTTTCAATTTTTATAACAATGCTGTGAAATAGGTAGCATTATTATCTCCAGTTGATATCTAGCAAAGTCATAGATTGGTCAGATTGGTCATATAATTTATCCATGAATGAACTGATAAGTAGGCTTTAGGCTGATTGCCAAGTTCAATATCATGTAACTCATGAATGGCAAAAGCATAGAATTTGTCTCTGGTCTTATGATATTGAAGGTCTTGTTTTATTTAATTGTGTTCATGTATCAATAAGAAGCACCAGTTATCCAAATTAAAATGGTAGAATGCAAAGTCAACTCTTAGAAGCTTTTATAGTTTGTTAACCATTTACCTTGTGTGCTCATATTTTTGAGACATGAAGGAAGGGATAAATCCACATAATTAAAATGACCTAATATTTGCCTAATGCTTTTGTCAAATATAAAGACCTATGTTTTATAATTTTAAGCCTTCGTTTGGAAGAAAAATGTTTTATGTTATTAATATTCTGTAGGTATTGTCTTAATACAGAGTTTACATTACTGCCTTAAGGGAAAATATATAATTAATGTATTTCTAAGCCTTTTTTTAAGGGAAGGTTGAGACCTCAGTGGACAAGGGAAAATTAGATGTCTTAGAAGCAGGAGTTATAGATTGTGAATAGTAAAATATGGATGAAATGGTGGCTCTATCAGTCCTCTCTGCATAGCTTTTGGCGGCAGTACCTTGGCACTTCTACATAGGATTTAGAGGACATTTAATAGAACTTCTTATTCTTAAGATAAAAAGAAAGTTTTAATAATTCTCCTTCCTTAAAAAACCTTTTCTATGTAAATTGACTCTCAGCCTAAACGAAGGAAAATTATTTAATTTTCTCGAATAAATTACTTTTTGTAAAATTTTATAGTGCAATAGGATATTAGATTGTTTTAGTCCAGCCTTTTTGTTATATGATTGAGAAAAAAAATAAGTAGCCTTTGGTAAGGATAGAGATGAACTAGAAGTCATATTTCCTGATTCTTAAACCTGTAGTTTATTCTGCTGCCCTAGACATGTACAAGACAGCCTTAAAAATATGTAGGAGATGTTTTTATTATTTTGAAAACAAATAAAAAATCAAGCAAAAGTAAATATGAATGTTTTTAAAGTAAGTTGGATTTCTTATATAAAGATTTGTAATTTTCAGTAACCATGAAAATATGAACAGATATTTTTTAAAGCTTAACTAGTATTTTTAGAAAATAAAAAGATACCTAGAAAGTTTCAAAATTTTAGAAGAGCTGTTTATTTGAAAGCCTTTTTCCCTTTTTCTTCAATTTAGGATCTAGAAAGAAACCCCTTCACTTGATTAGTTCTTCTGACAAACCTGGATTAGATCTTTTAAAAGTGGAATATATTAAGGTAAGGACCATAGAATGATTGTGTATTTGTTGTATACTCAAAATTATACTCTGAGGAAAAAAGATGACAATGTATTACTAATGGTTCTGGATGTGTTTTCATTTTTAATTATAGGGATAACTACTATTTCCTCTTCCATTTGTATACCTTCTTTCTCTTTCACTGTAATAGCCCTTCAGTATAGGGCTTTATGAAATCATTAAGCTACTAATCCCCAAAGGTGGAAGCCTGGGATACAGTTGGTGCTGTTTCTGTCTTCTGGGGCATATTCATGTGTCTCCACTCACTGTATCCAAAGGTGACATTTGGCCTAGTATTCTTCATCAAAAGGAAAAGTTAACTTAGATTGGGTTAGAGGAAACTGCTAGGATTGAAAAGAGACTCAAATATATCACATGAAAAATAAAACTAGAAAAATAGATTACATGAAAAATGCTGAAGAAGAAACTGATGGTATTTGGTTGCATTCAGGATTAGTTGATTTGTTTAATTAGAATTCACCAGCTATTTATTGAATGTCTGTTATCAAATGCCTTTACTGTTAGGCACTTGAATACAGATATGAGAAATACTCTTTGTTCTCAAGGAAATTATATACTAGAATGGCATGATAGGCAAGGAAACAACCAAATATAATATTGATTGGTGGACAACATAATTGATTCTCTAAGAAAGAAAAGCACAAAGTAGTGTAGGAGCAGAAAGTTAGGGAAACTAGTCTGGCCAAAAAGTTTCTCACAGGTGGTAAATTTTTTGAGTTTAAATTTACTATGTTTATTCCCAGTAGATAGAACTAGGACCAGGGGTGGGTTATGTGGGTTATGATGGGAGATGAATGTTTTGTTTATTGTTTGTTTGCTTTTTACTCAGTATGAAGAACTCTTTGAAACAAAATATTCTGTAAAGATTGCAATTCCTTGTAGGGAGACAAGATTTCTTTCACTGGAGAGATATATTTATATTTGCCAAAGACTTTTTTTTTTTTTAAGTAATTGGAGTTGAGCCTAGGATTTTGTATACTAGGCAAGTACTTGTTCTTCCACTGAATTACATCCCTGTCCCTTTTTATTTTATTTTGAGAGAGTGTTTCACTAAGTTTCCCAGGCTCTGCTTGAACTTAACAATCATCTGCCTTCGCCTCCAAAGTAGCTGGGACTGTAGGTATGTGCCATCACACCCAGCTCTGCCAAAGACTTTATAGAGAGATTTAAGCATTAAGTAATGGATGGAATCTATGGAATTTATATTCTCCAGCCTTCAGAGTTTATCATTCTTCCCAGAATTCAATGAACATCATCCCAGGCTTGAAGAGAAAACATTTACATTATTACAATAAGTTTTTTGGATATAACATTAAAATAATGACAGTAAAATTAAATATATAATACACATACAAATATATTTATAGGTAAATATAAATAAATTAACCAGATATTATAAATAAAGGATTTATTTGCTTTGGTCTTAATTCGTTCCTTAGAAATTTTCTTTCTTTTTTCAGGCTGATAAGAATGGACCAAGCTTTCAAACTACTTTTGAAAAAACGGAACAAACACTTAAGGTAAGGGATTTTATTAAACAAATATATTCCTTTTGAAAATAACCTATTCTGGAAGTGTTCACTGTCCTGTAAGGAATATTGATGAGTTATTTGATGAGACCATTGAAAGTTATAAATTAACCTTGTAGATACTTAGCTTGCTCTGTGTCTGATTCAGTTTATTAAAGCAGTTGTTTTGACTTACTGTATCATATCCTACTATAATCTTTTCTAAGATTTCGGTATTATTTCTAGGGAAGGGAGTACTATAGAAAAGGTAACTTTGATATGTAGAGAACTAACAGGATTCGAAATGATGGTGGAATGATGGTGGAATGTGATGGACATTATTATTCAAAGTACATATATAAAGACATGAATTGGTGTGAATATACTTTGTATACAACCAGAGATACGAAAAATTGTGCTTTATATGTATAATAAGATTTGTAATGCATTCCACTGTCATATATAAATAAAAAATTAATAAATAACTAACAGGATTCTAAACAAACCAAACTAAATAACGTCTTGAATATAGGAGTGAAGAAGTGCATAAGGTATAAAGAAAGGTGGTAAGTAATTTTGAAGTTATTACTTCTTAGGCAGTACTGTAGAGGAAGAAGAAGAAAAGTTCTTGTGTGTTACACTAAAATGAAAATGAGAGATATGACTTTAAATGAATGCTTTTGAGAGATGGGAAAATCTGCCATAATCTTCAGAACCTTCCTTTTTGTGGTTTTTGTATCAATTTAGTGTTTTGAGGAAATGAAAAATTGTTTTCTGTGAACAAATTTTGATTTTATTTAAATGTGCTATTAGAAAGCCACACATTCTTGGAATTAATATGTGTTCCTACCTTCGATTTAAAGAGTCTTTGTTTTTAAAACATGTAGTACTTGTTTCTTACAAGTCATATATTCTGTGTTTCTTTTTAAATGATGGAACCATTATTGTGGTTTTTGAAGATCACTTAGTAACTGGGAACCTACAATTGTATCTTATGTATTTAAATTTTATGGGTGCTACTTTTGGAATCATTTCTAAACATATTAGTAGCCCATAGTGGTCCTGGAGTTTTGTAGTGGTTCTGGAGTTTTATTTTCTGATTTATATCTTTTAAATAATCATAATAAATGTGCCATTAAGATCCAGTAAGGAGGCTAGGATTGTGGCTCAGCAGTAGAGCGCTCGCCTAGGGTTTGATCCTTAGCACCACATAAAAATAAAATGCATTGTGTTGTGTCCAGCTACACCCAAAAGATAAATATATTTAAAAAATCCAGTAAGTCATTATGGATGGCTTATGTTGAATATCAGAATGGTCATGAGAGGCAGATTATAAATTCTGTTATCATTATGCTTGGAGGATGGAGTAATTAAGTTGTTGTGGTATTCTAATGTACCCCTCAACTTTGTGGGTGTAACTTGCTTTCCATGTACTCCCTACTTTATGGAGTCCTGAACCTTCCTTTCCTCTTTTCTTTCCAGCTGGTAGAAAGTCTGCTGGGAGCCTCTGGGTGGGGCGTGGGGGGGGGTGAGTCACTGTGTGGAGTACAAGTTATAAATGGTCAAATAAAACTAATTTTCTTCCTAAAACATCTTTTTAGGTGGCCTTTTCATCTTTAAATCTCTTCTTGCAAGCACAAGCACTTCTCTCTTCTATTAACTACCTGACAACCATTATTCCATCAGATAGTCAAAATGTGGGTGTTGTCAAGGATGTACAGATTTCAACTGAAAAACAAAAAAATTCACCTTTGCAGAAAGGTATGAAAAATGTGTTTTGTTTATTGTTAGCAGGGGTTTTAGTATTCCAGGGTGAAATGAGGAATCTTAGAGATCATCTAATTTAATCATTCAAATGCATGTTCTCCCCCTCATTGTGCCCTTTTCTTCAAATTGAATCATATGTGAGCACCTGATCTATAGGGCAAATATAACCCATGCTATTGTTTTTGAAAATGTTTGTTTTTGCTCTTATTTTGGTGGTGGTTGCCTTTGAGAGGGTAATAGAGGAACAAGACCTGTATTTATTCTGAGCTCTTCCCTCCCTTCTCAGTGGCTCCTGAAGAGGTTCCATATCAGTCTTCCCTGCCATTTTAGACATGTGGAAATCAAGACCCAGAGACCAAAGGAAGGGGTTCAGGGACAGCATCTAATTAAATAAGTTCAGATTTTAGATCAGAAAGAATTCCACTCAAATTCTGACTCTTTTGCTTAAGGTGTGTGACCTTAAGTAATGTCTAGTGTCTTTATTTATTTATTTTGCATTTTCTTTCTTTCTTTTTTTTTGCTTTTAAATTATAAAAGTAACATACCTCTGTAGGATGTACAAAACAAAAGTATTTGAGATCTTAAAGAGTTTGAGAATTTAAAAAATGTGTATTTACATATATTTAGCAGAATTATGGTTTAATTAATATGGAGAAAAAAGCTTAACAAAATATGGATTACTGGAATCTCACAGTGATAGAATTCTTTGTTTTATTTTTAGTGATTGTGTCCTCTAAAGATAGTGACATTGTTGGGTTTAGGCTGTTTGCCAAGTTGAATGCTTTCTGTGTCATTGTTTGTGATGAGAAGAGCAATATTGCTGAAATCAAGATTCAAGGTAAAGATCTCATAGTACTAAAAATTCATTAAGAGATTAGCCTGCACACTCATTCTCTTGTGATCTTCTTTCCCCCCCCCCCCCTTTCTCAATACCAGGGAGTATACAAATGGAGTGCTCTGAGCTGTGAAATACCTGTCAGTGTGTGATTAGACTGGATGCTTTCTTTTTGGACTGTAGAAGTTGGTCAGAACTTGACCTTAAAATTGAACCACACACATGTGCTATGGCCTTCTGAGAGTTGTCTAGGAGGTGGAAAAGAATACTAATGCTACTGTTAGAACACCATTGATGGGCTGGGAGAAGCATCAGTTCAATTCAGTTGAAGGTCTATGTAATGCTTGATCATTACTAGACCTTTTTAAGCTTCATATTATCTTTACATATAATCTTATAATTGTACACCATATTTATTCATTTGTACTTTAGGCAAAGCAAACCTATAATGTAGAAGAAAATCTGTGAGCCCATTATGTTCATTTAGGCAAATCTGCTAAACTCATCTAGGTTTTCTCCTGGCCTTAACTTTGTCAGTTTATTATAATCTGGTAAAGGTAAAGAATATGTGTAATATGTTTAATGAAATTCTTTAAGAATTTTAAAAAAACAGAAAGCTCTGGGTTTTTTCTTTTTTGTTTTGTTTTCTTTGTCTTGGCTTGGCAGTACATCTACTAGTCTGAATTTGGTTCATGAGACTTTAACAGGCTCCATAAAAATGACCTAAAGTATAAAGGATTTGTGTAATTCTGAGATATACTAAATGTGTTTTTTTCGGATAATTAATTTTTGATAAATGTATAGGTTTGATGTTTATAAAGCTAAAAAATATCTAATATTAGAACTTTATTCATTGGGATTTAGACATTGCTAAAAAATTAAAACTTTAAAATAATTTTATACAGTGGAAATAAGTATCTTATTTATGACAGATCTGTAGAAATTATAATAATAACATGTTTTTTTCAGGCCTTGATTCCGCCCTTTCTCTTCAGTCAAAGAAGCAATCACTTTTTGCCAGACTGGAAAATATTATTGTCACAGATATTGATCCTAAGACAGTTCATAAACAAGTATGTAATAGTAAACAGTTAATATTTTTTGATGATTGAATATGAAATTCTATTTTATAATTTATTTTTTAAAAACAAATATATTTCAATTAAATATTTATTTTTATAAAGGTTAGAAATGTAAAACATTTTCTGAATGGGATTTTATTTTGTCATTACTTTCCTGGATAGAGAACATTCACAACTCTGTTTTTCAGGCCGTGTCAATAATGGGAAATGAAGTTTTTCGTTTTAATTTGGATTTGTATCCAGATGCTACTGAGGGAGATTCGTATACTGATATGTCCAAAGTGGATGCTGTGCTATCACTGAATGTTGGCTGTATTCAGATTGTCTATCTTCATAAATTCCTAATGTCACTTCTGGTAAAATCATTATTTAAATATTGAGTTTTCAATTTAGAAATAAATAAATCTGATAATTATGATAACAAATGTTATAAAGTCATTGAAAATAATAAGTATATATATATATATATATATATATATATATATATATATATATACAGAAAGTGTTATTTATGTGTTTATTTTTTACTTTTATACTTTGTGTTCACAGAACTTCATGAACAATTTCCAGACAGCTAAGGAGGCACTGAGTGCTGCCACTGCCCAGGCTGCAGAAAAGGCTGCCATGAGTGTGAAGGACCTTGCTCAGAGGAGCCTTCGTGTTTCCTTCTACATTGATTTGAAAGCACCAGTTATTATCATCCCACAGTCTTCCATTTCCACCAATGCTGTAGTGGTAGATCTTGGATTAATCAGAGTTCAAAATCATTTTAGTTTGGTGTCTGGTGAAGACTCCTTAAATCCTCCAGTAATTGACAGAATGGATGTACAGCTCACAAAACTCAAGCTTTCTAGGTATGCTCTTTCTGCAGTTATGGATTTAAGTATTATGTTAATTTTTGCTCTGAAATTTTGTGATTTTGAAACTCATACCTAACAAACTTCCCCTACATATTACATACAGCTGTTTTTAAAACAGCTTTTTATTTTGAAAAATTTTAAGCCTATAGAAAAATTATAGAAATAGTACCATGAGTGTACTTTATACATTTTAGTAGTTTTACCAATTTTATATTGCTTTAATATATGTATGCATAGTATTATTATTTAAATCATATTTTGCTAACTGGTTTGAGAATAGATATCTTGACCCATTGCCCTTAAATATTTTAGAATGTGCCTCCTGAAAGCAAGGTCAGTTATATTGACTATAATATAATTATCAAATTCTGGAAATTTGGTATTGGTATAATATTATCCAATGTGCATTCAATATTGAGGTTATACCTGTTGATCCAGTGATGTCCATTACAGTAAATTCCCCCCACCAGAATCACACATGGCATTTAATTGCATTCTCTACTATTAAGAGGGATTTCTGTACTAATACACACTTATTCTGGAATGTCCTTTAACCTTTCTGTATTTTTCACGATTTTGGTGGTTTTGAAGAGTGTAGTCTGGTTACTTCCTGGAACAGTTCTCAATTTAGTTTTATCTGAGTGATTCATCATGGTTTGATGGAGCTTAGACATTATTGGCAGGAATACTTTGTAAGTAATTTCGTATCATCAGTGCTCACACATGACACATAAAAACACAAGAAGATTAGAAAATTATTTTCTACCCTATCAAATCAGATTTTTATCCAGAATAAAAAGGTAATGATTGTAAAGCAAGTTCATAAAACAGTTCTGGAGAAAAACTTTATGAAACTCCCAAGAAAATGTTGTTAGCATGCACGTTGCTAATGTTTTCCTTAGTCTTTGTACCTAAAAATATATAGTCATGCTTCACTTAATGATGGGGATACATTCTGAGAAATGCACATTTTGCTATCTCATCATTGTATGAACATCACAGAGTGTCCTTACACAAACATTGGTGGTATCAGCCAATCATTCCATGTGATCTCTTGGTCAGAATCTATATGGTCAGGATACACAGTAAACATGAGACATATGTTGTATGAGGCTTCAGCCAATTTAACATGACATACTGTTTTATAGTAAACATTTTTTAAGTAGAAGGAGTACATTCTTAAGTAGTGAAAGACTAGAAAATATATTAACCAGTAACAGTCATTTATTATCACCAAATATTATGTGCTGTTCGTAATTGAGCATGTTGTACTTTTATGACTGGCTGTGTAGTAGGTTTATCTATACTGGTGTTACCCCAAATATAGAAATAATGTATTGCACTGTCTTTATGACAGCTACAGAGTCCCTAGGCAAGAGGAATCCCAGGGGACCACAGTGATATATGTGGTCCATCACTGACACATCATTATTGGCACATAACTGTTTTTAATCCTTGAATAACAATTTGATGATTTCTCCAATGTTTTTAAGAGTGTGACTTTGTTTTCAAAATGTTTGCAGTTATCACTTGTCTGCTATTTAAAGATAAAGGTATTCATAATAATTTCATTGTTTATCAGATATTTTAATCTGACCTTGCCAATGGATTATAAATTAATTTAATTATAAGTTCAGCTTAAAGTCATTACTTAGAGTGGAAGATAGCTGCTTCACTTTGTTTTTTTAAAATTATATGTTGCGTTTCCTCCTATTTTCGCATATGTATCATTTCTGTTGGTTATTAGGACAATAATCCAGCCAGGCATCTCCCATCCTGATATTCAGCTGTTGCACCCAATTAATTTGGAGTTTTCTGTAAATCGAAATCTAGCTGCAAATTGGTACCACAAAGTGCCTGTTGTGGAAATTAAAGGACATCTTGATTCAATGAATGTGAGTACATGAGAGAAAAATCCTTCATCATTGAAATTTTAAACTCTGGAGACTTTCTTAGTATATATTCAAATAAAAGGTAGAATGTTTTACTGAATGATATAAGAACAATTCCAGCCAGATGATATTCAACAGGGTTATTTTATTCTTTTCAGTAAAATTTAATCTTCAGATAGTGTTACTTAACTTTCATATTTGTTATTATAAGCATTTGCAGAGATCTGTGTGTAAACTATTAACATATTCCATTTGATACTATTTATTATAAACATATACTTTTATTTTTAGAATACCTAAGGTTCTCCAAAGATAATTATAGCATTGAGGGAAATGCCTATTTTTAATATTAAGAACAGTCTTTATTTCACCGGAATTGTTATTGTTTAAAAAGTGAAGTGTGTGCATTTTCAAAATTTGTCACTTTTAAAAGATCAGATTTCTTGAATCATAATTAACCTTTTATAAAGATAAGTCATTGTGGCTCATATTGACTTTTAAATTATATTGTTCTATAAACATTTTCTTTGAAAATAAAAATGTTAACATGAAATGAGTAGTGAAATACTTGAGTGGATAGTAATTATATAAATTTTTGATTGTTAGGTTATACTGTCCTTTGTGTTTTATTACTGAGAATTAGTTTTCTGCATTAAATTGTTTCATTGTACAATGAAATGCCTTTTTTCTTTTTTAACATAATATCTCACAGGTTAGTCTAAACCAGGAAGATCTTAATCTTTTATTTAGAATATTGGGAGAAAATCTTGGTGAGGCTACTGAAGACCTAGATAAAGTGAAACCAAGAATACAAGAGACAGGTAAGAGTCTGACAATAGGTGGCATACTAAATATGTCTATTTTATTTTATAATTTAGTAGACAATAATCTCTTTCTTTCCTATTTTTGTGGTGCTGGGTAGCAAACCCAGAGTCTTGTGCATGTTAAAAGCACAGAGTCTATATCACTCAGCTACATGTATCCTTAGCCTGAAAGAGAAAATATAAGAGAAGTAAACAAATATAATTTACAAATTGTAATTTGTATTACCAAGAAAGCAAACAAGAAGTTATATTTGGAGATGTTTGATTCTTTTTAGTTAATCAGTCAATCCATTGTCATTTTAACATTTAAAAAAAAAATTATGTAAGTTGGTTGAAGGACATTAAGAAGGGGGTCAATATTCAGTTGTGGATTTCTGGGATAATTATTGTATTTACATGTACAGAAAAAAAATATTTAATTTGTCCTTGTTTATGGTAGCATACTTCTTGTGATTTTTAAGTAAGGCTTAGTAGTAAAATATTTTTAAGAATTGCACTTGCTGATAAAGTACTATTCCCTGATGATACTGAAAAATTATACTGCAATAAAATGAAGAGAATTTAAATTATTAGTTGTGTCCCTTTTGATTTAGTAATAAGGTAATTATAGTACAAATTTTAAGCTGTTTTACACATATGTATATACATGAATGTATCATGCACACACACATATAATCTTTTTTTTTCAAAAAAATGGTAGCACTTGTGTGTATATGCAATTTTCTCATTTTTTCCTAAATTATGTCTTGTGTTCATTTTATATTGGTATATGTTCTATGTATAGATCTCCTTTATTCTTTTTAATGACTACCTGGTGTTAGAGTCTGTGGAAATATCATGATTTAGCAAGTCTCCATTTTATAAACATTTTAGTTTGCTTTCAATTTTTTCACTGTATCCATGTTGCATTCAATATCCTGTACATGCACTTTTACAAGTACTTGTAGGGTAATACCAGTTAAAGGGTATGTAATCTTTATTAATTTAAATTTAATTAGTAATTTAATCAATAAACTTTTAAAAACATAATTTAAAATTTTGATAGATCTGTCAATTACCTTCCATAGGACTTGTACTGTTTTGTACTTGTACCAGGTTGTTCCTCCCCCCCGCCACCCTTGATACCAGGGATTGATCCCAGGGGTGTTTTAACCACTGAGCCCTTTTTCATTTTTTAGTTTGAGATAGGGTCTCACTAAGTTGCTCAGGGCCTACCAGGTTATTGTGCCTGGCCTTGTATTTACAATCCTCCTGCCTCAGCCTCCTGAACCACTGGGATTACTGGTGTGCACCACCATGCCCGGCACCAGGTTGTTTTCCTATAACTTGTTAATATAGTGTATTGTCAGACTTTAAAATTTTTGCTCATTTGCTGAGTTAAAGATGATATTTCACTACATTTTTTCATCATTTAATTTTTTACTATAACATAACATATATGTACAGAAATTTTAAGTGTACAACTTAATGAACTTTTACATGTGGATACAGCTATTCTGTCACCATGATACAGAGACTGCATGTCTTCAGCATCTCAGAAAGCCTCCCTGATGTCCTTCCCAGTCAGTTCCATGTGCCCCCAAATCCAACCAGATGTAACTATCATTCTAACTTATAATACTATAGATTGTTTTAACTCTTCTTGAGTTTTACGTAAATGGAATTATGAATAAATTACTCTTTTGTATGTGGCTGCTTTTTTTCAACACCTCCTGAAATTCTTTTGATACTGTACTTAATAGTAGTTGGCTCTTTTTATTCCTATGTAATGTTCAAATATAAAAATGTATCCAGAATTGTTTTATCTATTCTATTTTTGATGAACATTTGGTTTGTTTCTAGTTTTTGACTACTGTGAATAAAGTTGCTGTGTTGTTGTATATGTCTTTTAGCATACAGTAATTCTCTTTATTTGTGGATTTGCTTTCCAGGGTTTTAGTTAGCTGTGATCAATACTGGTTTGAAAGTGTCAAGTGGAAAGTTGCATAAATAAATAACTTAAAAGTTATAAATTGCATTCTGCTCTGCCAGGGACATTAATCATCCCTTTGCTTGGCATATCCACATGATATATGCTACTTTTCTGTCATTCATTTAGTAGCTGTCTTAGTTATCAGGTAGATTTTTATGCTATCCCAGTGCTTATATTCAAATGACCCTTAGTATTTAATTTGACCACAAAGTTCAAGTGTAGTGGAAACTCATTGGTGGCAATTTTATTACACATTATTTTTTATAATTATCTTTATCGGGCTTGGGCTGTGGCTCAGCAGTAGCAAATTGCCTGGCATGTGTGAGGCACTGGGTTAGGTTCTCAGCACTGCAAAAAAATAAATAAAAAATAAAAAACTTCTATCAACAACTAAAAAAAATAATTATATAATTGTTGTTAATCTCTTACTGTGCCTAATTTACAAATCAAACTTTATCATAGGTGTGTTATATATAGAACTATCTGTGGTTTCAGGCTCCTGCTAGGTGTTTTATAATATATCCCCCTCAGAGGAGGAGAGGCTACTCATATGTTTTTTTTTTTTCTTTTGGATATGTAGATAGGAGTAGAAGTACTGGGTTCTATGTTAGATTTTCATTTTAACTTTAGTAACTTATACCATATTATATCAAATGGTTTTCTAAGTGTTTGTACCAGTTTACTTTTAGTAATATATGAGTCCCATTTGTGTTGTATTCTCACCATTACTTGGGAATTGTCAGTGTTTTAAAATTTAGTCGTTCTGGTGGATATGCAGTAATATTTTACTATGTTTTTTATTTGTTCCCTAATAACTAATGAAGTTGAACACCTTTTAAAAAAAAAGTGTATGGGGGACAGGTGATATTGGCTATTTGGATACCCTCTTGTGACCCGACTTTTCAAGTCTATTCTGTCATTTTTACCAAGGTGTTCATTGTTTTTATTGATAAGTAGGAGTTTTTTGTTATTGTTGTTCATCCTGGACACGAGTCCTTTGCTAGTTTTTTGTATTAAATATATGTGTTGGTATATGTATAGAAATGTTTTTTCCTTTCTGGTTTTCCTTTTAACTCTCATGGGTCCTTTGATTAATAAAATTTAGTAGACTTTGTTAACTTTAATATTAAACTCCAATTTACTGTCTTAAAAATGATTAGTGCTTTGTATTTCATATTTAAGAAATCTTTGAGTATTCCTGGAATTGTTTTGTAAGAGCAAAATATTTGTTAGGACCACCCCACACTCCTGGCTATTCACATTATGTTTGGAGCAGTGCTGGAAAACAATGAAAATTAAGAAACCTTGCCATAGGCATTGCTTTCTTAAAGGTAACAATAGCAGTGGTTTTCTATATGGGTTTCTTGTGTAGGTGATATTTCAGGGTTCTGGTTTGCTCTTTCAGTGGTCAAGATAATGTTAGGAATGATGTAATGATATTGAGGGTTGGTTGAAAGTGAAAGCTGTCAAATCATACTGATGAATTTGGACCCCACCCCTTGTAATCTGTGTGACACTGGGTAAGGTACTGAATGAGTCTGAACCCTCAATTTTTTAATCTGCATTTTGAGGACAATAAAGTTTTACCTTCAAGGAATATTATAAAAACTAAATGAGACCATCCCTGTATAAGACTTAGTACAATATCTGGTGCCCAAGTATACTCATAGCAGAGACAACTGCTATTTTGTGTATTACAATTTAAAAAGCAATTTTATTGTATTTCAGGATGTGCTGATTTCAGAAAGACAGCATCATATTCATATGACTTTTCTTTTTTGTTGTAGTTGTTGTTTATAAAACCTCTCCCATGTCATTACTCTGTGATTTCCCCCAATTTCTTACCTTTTTCTTGGAATATCTTCTCTGTGTGTGCAGGTCGTTGAGCTCTACTTGGATGGTACCTCTTGTGTTAAACCTTTCTTTATTTACTTGTAATGGTGTTAAACCTTGTTCTGTGCTTTCTGTGCATTTTATATTTTTTATTAACATTTACCCTCTTAATGTCAATAAGTGCGGCCTGCTTGTTTTGCTTGTGTTTAAAAATATGTGTCTTGTACTATACCATGAGTTTTCTAAGGACTAGAGAGATGACTGATTTCTGTATTTTTAGGCCTTTGCCAGATCCAAAGTACTGATATTTGTCCTTAGTAAATATTTGTGAAAGAAATGTCTAAATGAGTTTCTTTTGAACATCTTTAGGTAAAATTAAAGAGCCCTGTGAAACCTCTATATCACAAGATGTACATGCTTCACAAGATACTTTAACAGCTGGAATGGAAGAAATTAGATCTGTAGATATCATTAATATTTTGCTGAATTTTGAAATTAAAGAGGTATGTAATTTTCATATGTTCTTGTAAAAGGAGGTAGATAAATAATGGATACTTAGAATTACCTCTTAAACTTGTAAATAATAGGCAGAGAAAAATCTTACACAGTTTGTTTTCATGTAGCAATGGTGCTTTCAAATTTGAGTGTTTATTAAGAATGAGTATATATAGGGTGTATATTATTTCATGGTGAAATATGATAGTATTTCATGTAACTTGCTTTTTCACTATTATAATTACAGAACAGTTGGAATGTGGCTTGCTTTGCAGTTCCATAAAAGAAAGGCAGGAAAGGGAAATAATGATTGAGAAATCCTTTGCAAATGCTAGAAACTCTTATAGAATAAAATACAGTATGTCTGCATTTTAAAACATGTTTATTACTATATGGTATAAATGTTTATTACTATATAGCATATGCTTTCCATTTACAGATTCTTGAGGAAAGATTAAGTGGATTTTCCTCTTCTTTATTCACACATTGAACAAATTGTATGTGCTAGATGCCAAAGATGCAGAGGCAGAATGCAAATTCAGACAATTGAAGTATTTATGTTTTCATTTAAAATGTACTCAGAGTAGTGTATACATTGGAGCTTGTGGTATGGATGGTAGCGAGAGGATGTTCTAATAGGGTTGGGAAGATTTCCTAGAAGAAGTGACATTTGAGTTGAGTTTTTAAGGAAAAATAAATAGTCTAAAAAAGGGGGATCAGAAAAGAGGGTAGGGATAGAAAGGAATAGGCTTAAAGTTTTGAATAAGTGAGAAAAGAGTAGATCTAGGGACCTGCAAGCACCTTTCTCCAAAAGCCCTTCATCATTAAATATTTGTGTTCTCTGAGCTAAAAATTATAAACTTTTTATACAAATGGATTCTGTGTTTTTGAACTGAAATACATGCTTGTAGTGTTGCTAAAAGGGTGTTGAAACTAACTTTGTTATATTAAACCTCCAGTATTTTTTCTGGTTAATATCAGAGTTGCTAAAGATTTTTAAGTTTTGACAATTCAAACATTGTTAGATAAATAATTCTGTTTCCAAAGTTCTTAATTAATGTGTGTATGTAAAAAACCTGTAAGTCCTTTTAATATCATTTGTAATATATATTATGATAGTTCCTGTCCTTTGGGACAGTGATTGGGATAGAGGGCGAGAAATTTGCATCCTCCAGGTGAATACTTGATGTTGTCTGAAAACATTTTTGGTTCTTACTTACATAGTGGGAGGCTGCTACTGGGAACTGGTGGGTAGAGGCAGGGATGCTGCCAAATATCTTACAGTGCACAGGACTGTAACAGCCCCGTTATGCATATTTGTCATCTTAAAATGTCAGCAGTGCCACCATTGAGATTTCCTTGCCTTAGGAGTTCTATACAAATTAGCTGTTAATCTCAGACTTTCAAATGAAAGACCAGATTATCTGGGAATTAGGCCAAATTGCTATTTATTGTCATTTTTGTACTTTACCTTTGAAAACCACTAGAAAATAGTGGTGATGCTTCCAAAGTTTTAACAGTTATATGTGCCTCCTGAGGTAAATAACAATAAACAATTTTCAGGCACAAATGGAAATAAATGTTTTTACATTGTTTAAATCTATTGGTCATATCACTCTGTATGGTTATTAAATTCTTGATTTATCTACATTGCATATTAATGAGATTGTTTGTGGTAATACTGATGCATCCTTTTAGGTTGTGGTTACTCTGATGAAAAAAGCAGAAAAGAAAGGAAGGCCTTTCCATGAACTCAATGTTCTGCAGCTTGGAGTAGAAGCTAGAGTTAAAACATATGACATGACTGCTAAAGCTTATCTAAAAAAAATTAGTATGCGGTGCTTTGATTTTACTGGTGAGTGTGAAGTTTTATTTGTGTCAATTATTCATTAGGCAGATGGTCCTTTTATCAATATTAAACATTTATTTATGTCACCATAGTTATTTAGATTAAATTTATTACAGTGATAACAAGGAATTTGATATTTAAAAAATGTACACTCATGTAATTATCATAAATAAAGAATATATCTATGTATATACTTAACATAAAATGGAATATACCTAAAAAATTAACCATATGTCTATATATAACACTTCAGTACTTATAAAAGGCACCATTTCAACATTACTATGCCATTAGAACTGACATCTTAGGAAATCAGAAACCAGGTACAGACCCCATGGACTTTTTTGAAAAGTTAATTTACAAGGAAACATGATTTCTTATTTTAAAAATCTGTTTAAATTAAATGAGATTTTAAATTTGTTGTCAGTTACATTAATGCTTGCTTGTAAAAATGAAAATTAAATAATACAGAAAAATAAAGAAGGAACAATTTAACATTATCTTGTAGTCTCATTCCTTTCCTCCCAAATAAACTTAAGTTATTGTTTAGTGGGTATCCTGGACCTTTGTAATTCACTTTCTGAATTATAGCAAGCCAACTTTTAGAGTTTTTATGAGTATTTAAAGTTTATAGAAACTCTTGAAATATCTTACAAGCAAACTTACATTGAGAGTAATTCTTACTTTTCATAAACTTTTTAGGTTCATTCCTTAATATATTATGATTTGTTCAAATGAGAGTAATAACAGTAGTACCAAGTGTTGTAACAGTTGTTATTGACTACTGCTGGGTTTGTTCATTTATCTCTTATTTTTATGGAGCTTCTTTTTTCAAAGCCAGGCTTACTGAGACATCATTTCTATATAGTAAAGCTAATTCATCCTTTTCTATGAGTTCTGATAAGCATACATATATGTAACTGGCTGGTTCTGTCTTAAAAGATGGTTTGAAGTATTTAAGAGATGTTACCTTGTCTTTTTCCCTTCTAGACTCTAAAGGAGAACCTCTTCACATTGTTAACTCTTCTAATGTAACTGATGAACCTCTCCTGAAAATGTTGCTGATCAAGGTACCTGGTTTCATTTCTAGAATTCTTGAATATTTAAGAATATGAAGTTATACATATTGCTCTCATATTTAATGTTTCAATTTTCTCCCCCCCCCCTTTTTTTCATTCTAAATTGGTTGATTGTGGTGAATTTTCCAACCATCCTAAGATTCCGGATACTCTATTAGCCTTCTGAGTTATCCTTTGGTGTTGAATAAATATGAGTAATACATAGTTCTGCTGTATTCTGAAGTGTGTTATAATCTAGAAGACTAGCATTTCTCCTACATTTAGGTTTGGTCCACCTAATCTACATATACTAGCATTTCTTCCAGAGTAGGATGAGGAATTTGAGTTTTTGCATCTGTAGAATGTGAGACATGCTTTATGTGGTCAGTTTTGGGGATATGTTCTTTTTGCCTGTAAGTAGTATGTTTTTACTGTTTTAATAGCATACTTTGAACAGTTTTAAAAAATAAAGTGTTTTCAATGCATTACATTTTAGTGTTTGTAACCCAATGCTTTAATTATTCACTATTTGTAGGCGGACAGTGATGGACCAGAATTTAACACTGTTCATGACAATACCAAACAGAGACTGAAGGTAAATTTTTATAATTCACTATAAGGTTGCGTTCATAATGATTAAATGTAGCTTTACAGCCATTTTCAATTAGAAGATTGTAAGTTCTAAAATTAGAATAAGGGTGACAATAATAATAGATTTAATTTTATAGATAAAATAAGTGGATGGGCTTGGAGAAGTAGCCCTGTGGTAGAGTGCTTTCCTAGCATGTGCAGGACCCTGGGTTTAGTACGCAGCAACACACACACACACACACACACACAAACACAATATGTAAAATAAAGTAGTAGAAAATAAATAAAATAGGTGGATGAAGAATTGAAATAAAACTTTTAAAAAATTTGATTTCTGAGAAAAATATTTGTTTCTCAGATGTGAATTATTACTTGTTGATTGTATATTTTAAAGGGAATTTTCTTCCACCATGGTTATTTGACTTGGTGTTGATGGACATATTAAACATTTGAATTATGTATTGCTTTAGGATTAGAACAAATCTAGGCACAAGGATAAAGCATGGCCTCATTCAGACATTGCTCACAGTCTATTGAATATATAATCAGTCTTGGAATGCTTATTATATCATAAAACTCATCAAATCCTTTTGAGTTTAGAATTGCAGTGGCACATGGGAGTGGGCTGTCAGTTTGTTGTTGGTAAGGATTAACATTGCAATAGTAATCCTAAGGAATAACATGGTAATAGTGATTCTTTTAAAAAAAAATTTAAAGCCCTTTAAGCTAATTAGTTGTATATATGTATATGTTGAGGTTTAAGGTGAAAGCATTGCATATCTGGAATCTGCCTCTCTAATTGTTCATTATCTTAGGTTTCATTTTCATCCTTGGACTTGGTACTTCATTTGGAAGCTTTACTTTCCTTCATGGATTTTCTATCATCTGCTGTTCCATCCTCTGAGTCTTCCTTTTCTGAGAAGGAATCTGAGCAAAAACCCCTTGTGGGGGAATCTGGAAGTATTGCCATCAAAACTGGTATTAATTTTTGCCTTATGGTCTAATACTGTCATATAAAAACTTACATTTTTAAACTAAGATAAATATTCAACATTTTGATATTAAAACTGGTCTGTCAGGTTAGTTTCAGAGAAAGCAAATTTTATCTTTCTGGAATTATAGGGCAATTTATTGAAGGATTTTGAAAAAATGTTTAGTATTAATCATTTATATTCAATTTTACTGTTTAGCTTTTTCATTAAATAGAAGTTGTATATAATTTGCATTGACATATTTTTTGCAGTTTTTAGTCCAATGAAAGTGAGAAAAGAAGTTAAAATATGAATACAATCATGCATGGAACAAAGGTCCATTAGTCCTGCCTTGTGCTCAACAGTTATAAGGGCTTTGTGGGTACCAAAGAAGGAATGTCACGGAAGAAAGACACTCACTTTGGTTTCTAACCAAATCCATATTTTGATCACACATAAATTTGAGCACATATTCCTCAGACATATGACTTGTGCTGTGAAATGTTAGAGATGGAAGTATCCTGAGTGAATAAAGATACATTGGCCAATATCATTGAATTAATTTTTCATATTGTACATTTTAAATGTCTAACATCGAATAATTTAATTTTCAGACCATTACCAGTTTGACATCTGAATTACTGGTATCTTAAGTGTAAAACTGTTAGTACTACTAGATCTGATACAGGGATCTGATTTTTTAAAAATCATGGAACAGAGCAATTATTTTGTTAAAACTGCAGTAAAAGAGTTTTACCTTCTTTGTCTTTAATGTATTTTCTTGCCACAGTAATGTCTTTTAGAGATAATATCCTTAGAAATACCTCTTCTTTATTTAACATTTATATGACATATATGAAGTACAGTTCAGTGAAAAATTAATATTTAGATTCAGAATGAATTACAAATACTATTAACCCAAAGAAATTATCTGTTTTTTCATGTTTGGTCTCTATGGTTTGATTGTGCTAAAATAAATATTAAGGAAAAAAATTGTTATCATATTGGTAATTCAGGACTGATACCCTCCTGCTCTGGCAGTTCTGGGGAAGGTTCTGTTTTCTTCAGGTAAGACAGATTTGTAGGAAAGTGTATTCTAAATGTATTAATCAGTACCTGCACTAAAGTAGACTAAGGTAATCAGTTCAATTGTGATTCTTACATCTTATTTTATGTGTTTTCCCCCTAATCGTCAGCCTTTTTGTGTTCATGTTTCATTGAGTTTGTTGTGCAATTTTTTTATGAAGCAGTAACAGTAGCTTATAATATAGAGAAATGAATTGGTTCTATAATTAAATAACATGTATTATAAATGACACTACTATGAATTTTAATAACCGTTCATCAGTATTATAATTTTTCATTAATTGTTCTTTGCTCTAATATGTGATATGAAAAGGAGCTCAAAATCAGTTTTCAACTAAAATAATTCTAGAATTTGAATTTAGAGGGTTATCTTTTTCTTAGAAGATGAAAAAAAAATTTATCTCGTAAATGGTACATGAAGGTCTTATTAATTATTGCCTTTATTCTTCATTTGAAGGGGAACATGCTAGTTTTTGTCTAATTAGTATTTGAAAATTGATTCAAATTCATATTAACTATGTTATCTTAACAGAGATCTTTTTGGGTTCCTTATAATATTTTATGTAGTTTTATTTTGGTGGATTTGAGATTATTTTGCATCTTTTATCTTCTTTCTACTTTGCTGATTACAAAATTTCTCTTGATTTTCAGTATCCAGCACCATTTCTAAAGAAGATGTGTTTGATTTAAAGGTCACAGCTGAATTAAATGCATTTAATATCTTTGTTTGTGATCAGAAGTGTAACATAGCAGATATTAAAATACATGGTAAGTAATTATTTTTTGATGTGGGTCTTTATATTTCTTTGCATAAGCATCCAGGGAAAATGAGCTTATGCACAATGGATTTCTTCTGAGCCATATTATGATTTACTTATGTTGAAGACTTTGCAAGCTTTGTAAAGGTGTACTTTCAAATGTTTGAAGTATATTTTTTATGATTCCTTACTGACTTGAGGCATTCCTTATGTACTTAAAAAAATTCAGAATATCTGAGACTTAGTCTATTCCATTAGCATTATTTTCCCTTGTCTTTTGTACACACATAGCATTGAAAAAGTTTCTGAAAGATGTTTTCTGAGTGATTTCCATTATATTAGTTTGATATAAGAATGGGGTAGCATGTTATTATGGTCCATAGGTTCTGGAGAATTTGCCAAGGTTCTAACTAACTAACTAATACTGGCAGCTTTGAGCAAATTATTTAACTTTTCTATGTCTCAGTTTCTTCTTCTATAGAATGAAGACAGTAATAATTATGCATGGGGTTCTGGTGAGCATTAAAAAAGTTTATGCATTTACAAATGTTTAGAAAAGTGGTTGGTACACAGTAAGCAGTTTTTTAAACGGTTAAAAAAATTAGCACTGTTCAACAGATATCACCATATATCTGTTTTATAGGGAATACAGATGCAGGACAGTTTAAGACACTATGAGACATTTAGACATTATGAGAATGACAGATTTTTTTGAAGAGAAATCTTAGAAGACTGTACTTTAAAAAGTACAGTTTTTGTTTTCATTTCCACAACTTTTATATATGAGATGCATGTAGCATTTAAAGGTTTTGTAAACTTTCTTGGGTGACTCATACATGAAAGTTGATGCTGTTAATATGTTTAGTAATGAGTAGTTTTTTATTCATTCTATATCTTGGTGGTATATTATTGAATTAAAATGCCACTGAATTGGTTCATTTAGATGGAGTAAAAAGTTTATAAATAATATGTCTCCCTTAGGAATGGATGCCTCTGTATCTGTGAAGCCAAAGCAGACTGATGTGTTTGCCAGACTTCAGAATATCATAGTTACAAATGTTGATTTGCTGTCCATTCACAAAAAGGTAATTAAAAAATAGATTTTTGTATTGAAGTTTAGTTTCTTCTTTGACTTTGGGATGCTAATATTCATAAGTGTATTTAGTATACATTTATTAGTTGTCTGTCACATGTTGGGCATTTTGTTACAGTTGATAACAGTTGGCTTTCATGTTGTATGTATACCAGGCCTTCTGCTACACAGTGATTTGAAAAGTTACTTCTGAACAGTTCAGTAACAGATAGATATTTTCATAATAAGGGGCCAGGGGTATAGTGTAGCTCAGTGACAGAATATTTGTTTAGTATGTCTGAGGCTGTGGGTCGATCCCCAGCACTACCAAAAAAACAAAAACAAAGAAGATATTTATATTAATAAAAAAGTGTTTTTTATAGAAATAGGAAAAGCTTTTGCTAAATAAAATGTTTTTAATAAAATTGTTTAGGGTTACATTGATATATTGCTTCTTCATATATCAAGGATTGCATAATAAGGGATAGAGCAATAAGGAGTTTGCAGTAATGCCTAGGTATTGCATACTTTTAGGCAGTCTCTATTTTGGGAGATGAAGTCTTCAGATTTCAAATGACTCTGTATCCAGATGCCACAGAAGGAAAGGCTTATACAGATATGTCTAAAGTGGATGGCAAACTTAGTCTCAAAGTGGGCTGTATTCAAATTGTTTATGTTCATAAATTCTTCATGTCTCTTTTGGTAAGTTTATATGAATTTATTTCTTATTGAGACCTAAATATTTTGTCTATATACCTGAACCTTAGATAGTCAAAATCTTCACTTCTCAGGCTATCTACTAAACACCCTGATGCCGTACTCAATTCTGTAGAGATCTTTTATATAATGTTAACCAAATTGATTTTTAAATCATTGTTTTAAACATAGAAACTGCCATTCTCTAACATTTAAACTACATATTTTAAACATATAGCTACATATTTTAAAAGTATTTTTGTAATTTTTAATTTAGGGCTTTTCAGTGGTACTTGTTTGATGAAATACCTTAGGGTATTTGGCTAGAAGAACTTTTTAATAAAACTCATCAGCTATTTGAAAAACTAATATTGGAACTTACAGATTTTGGTTGTATTTCTGATCAACAAGACCATGAAATTGTTTCATTTTTACTATATCCATGTAAGAGTCATGGACTAAAGAGTTTAAATCTTCCTGTGCCTCTTGACAGAGCTGCCGACTACAACAGTCATGAATTTTCCAAAATATCATGTTCACTTTTCTAGAAAGTCATTTATTTTGAGCTAGGAAGAAGATATTAAGTTTCTGTTGTATTATCAATGGATGAACATTAAGAATATTGCTTTTCCAGGCTTGTGGCGCATCTTTGTAATCCTAGCAACTCAGGAGACAGAGGCAGTAAGATTGCAAAGATTGCCAGCCTCAGAAACTTAGTATGACCCTGTCTCAAAATGAAAAAATAAAGCAGGCCAGGGATATAGTTCAGTGTCCCTGGGTTCAATCCCTAGTATTGGGAGAAAGAAGAAAGTTAAGAGTATTGCTTCTAAGAATGATCATTTCTCCATTTGGAAAAATCTGTTTTTAGTTGAAATTGAGATGAAATGCTTCTTAATATAAACAAAGAAGTTTTGATTCTTATTAATGATTCCAGGGTAATACATAATTAACAATGTGTGCTCTTGCCTGGTACATTTAAAATAATCAGATCCTTAGTTTCTGAGAATAATCTTTATTCTTGTGACCTAGAGTAATAGAATGGAACCCACTTTTGGAGAAATAAAGTGCTTTCTCTCAATCCTTTCATTTAAATTTTGAATTTAACATGACTAACATTTATTAATAAAAAAGATTTTTTGAGAAGTTGAAAAATTTATCATAAAATCAAATAATTTTGAAAAATATAAATGAAAGTTAAAGAACTTTTCTTTCCTGGAGATAACTGTTAATGACTTTATTCTTCTCTGTATACATAGTCACAAGTAATATCTCTTTTATGTTATCTCTTCTGTTTAGTTTTTTTTTTAAGAGTAAATACTTTCTGAAATTTTTTATTTAAAAATAGATATTTATGGCAGGGCATAGTGGCACACACCTGTAATCCTAGCGGCTCAGGAGGCAAAGGCAGGAGGATCTTGAGTTTAAAGCCAGCCTTAGCAAAAGCGAGGCACTAAGCAACTGAGACCCTGTCTCTAATAAAATTCAAAATAGGGCTAGGGGTGTGGCTCAGTGGTGGAGTGCCCCTGAATTCAATGCGTGGTACCAAAAAAAAGTCTTTTTTGGGGAACTATCTGATCATCATTCTTTTCCAACAGAACTTTCTCAACAATTTCCAAACTGCCAAAGAAGCTTTGAGCACAGCCACAGTCCAGGCTGCAGAAAGAGCTGCTTCCAGCATGAAAGACTTGGCTCAAAAGAGTTTCCGCCTTTTGATGGATATCAATTTGAAAGCACCAGTTATTATTATTCCTCAGTCTTCAGTATCACCTAATGCTATTATAGCAGATCTGGGTTTAATCAGAATTGAAAACAAATTTAGCTTGGTTCCTATGGAACATTATTCTCTTCCCCCCATTGTTGATACGATGATTGTCCAGCTCACTCAGTTGAAGCTGTCCAGGTATAAATATATAATCCAATTGTGAATCTTACCTAAGCATAGGATTTTCATAGAATTTTGGCTTGAGGTAAAATGGTCTAATAATTTGTGATCCCAGTCCTTATTTATTTTAACTAAGGAAGCCTGACCACTGATTTTTTTTTTTGGCCAGTGGTTTATAGTAGTGTGCCTCACAGTCTGTATTTTGTTTTACAGAATTCAGAATATGATTTTTTTTTTATTCTATAGAAGTTACTTATGAAATTACAGTTTACTGGCTGGGCATGGTGGTGCACACGTGTTTTTTAGCTACTTGGGAGACTGAGGCAGGAGAATCTCACAAGTTCAAGACCAGCTTGGGAACATAGCAAGACCTCATCTAAAAAAAAATAGAGAAAATATGGCTAATTAGTAATACTTAATTTATTGTTATGGTTTTTCTTCCTTCTTTCTGTTATGGTTTTTCTTCTTTCTTTCTTTTTTTTTAAGCACATAGCTATTTCCTTTTCTGTAGGTGGGATAAAACTTCCTAAATTATGATAAGATTTAAGATTTCTCATTCCCAAATCTTGTCACATTTGGTAATTTTGAATGAGGTATCTAAAGGGTTGTTGCTTCTTGATAGGAGAGTATTGGTTGTGTTGAATGGCAACAGTACTCATTTGGTTGTGGAAATAGTTGTTAGCAGATAGGCTAAAAGTGACTATTACCATATATTCACTTACTTTAAGCTTTGGTGTGTTTTTCCTTTGAGTTTGGAGAATAGCAATAATATATGGGCTACATATACCAATACTTCCTTTATACTTCAATTTTAGAAGGGTTAAATTTTATTGGTATAACATTGTGCTAGTTGCTATATCAAACAGTCTTTATAAAAGATAGTAATGTAGTAAACTATGGAAATCATGTCTTTGAAATCAGTGTTATATTGGCTTTGTTTTAGATAACTGCATATAACCTGATTTATTCTGATTTGTTTAAAGAAATATGTTTTAAAAGAATTCTGGTTCCAGTCTTTAAATGTTTAGGAAAGATCTATGTAGAAGCTGTTACAAAGTATGAAAGTCCTCATTTAAAAATGTATATTTAAAATATATAATACATTTTTGTTTTTCTTTCAGAACTATTTTGCAGTCTGGCTTGCCACCATATGACATTGAAATTCTAAAACCAGTCAACATGCTTTTGTCTGTACAACGAAATTTATCAGCAACGTGGTATGTACAGATTCCAGGGATGGAGATAAAAGGAAAACTAAAACCTATGCAGGTTTGTATGTAGTATTAAATGTAAAATTGCTAGATAGGCTTTTATCATTGATCATACTGCAGTTCTAGTGTGTATTAAAAAGGAATATTTTGTTAACTGCAAGTGAGGTCATCCTTATTTCCCACACATTTCTTTCTTTCTTTTTTTTTCTTTTTTGAGTCCCTATTTATTCCTGTGCCTCTCATGGCCTGTCCCTAGCTTAAATCCCCTCCCTCTCTCTCTTTTTTTAAATTGATTTTTTAAAAAAATAAATGACAGTGGAATGCATTACAATTCTTATTACATGTTTATAGAACAGTTTTTCATATCTCTGGTTGTATATAAAGTATGTTGACACCAATTCGTGTCTTCATACATGTACTTTGAATGATGATGTCTATCACATTCCACCATCCTTGCTAATCCTCTGCTCCCTCCCTTTCCCTCCCACCCCTCTGCCCTATCTAGAATTCATCTATTCCTCCCATGCTGTCCCTCCCTACCCCACTATGAGTCAGCCTCCTTATATCAGAGAAAACATTCACATTAGTTTTTTTGGGGATTGGCTAACTTCACTTAATATTATCTTCTCCAAGGCCATCTATTTACCTGCAAATACCATAATTTTATTCTCTTTTATTGCTGAGTAAAATTCCATTGTGTATATATGCCACATTTTTTTTTATCCATTCATCCACTGAAGGGCATCTAGGTTGGCTCCACAGTTTAGCTCTTGTGAATTGTGCTGCTATAAACATTGATGTGGCTGTGTCCCTGTAGTATGCTGTTTTTAAGTCTTTTGGGTATAAACCAAAGAGAGGGATAGCTGGGTCAAATGGTGTTTCCATTCCAAGATTTCCAAGGAATCTACGTACTGCTTTCCATATTGGCTGCACCAATTTGCAGTCCCACCAGCAGTGTATGAGTGTACCTTTTTCCCCACATCCTCGCCAACACTTATTGTTGCTTGTCTTCATAATAGCTGTCATTCTGACTTTCTTTACTTCATTTTAGTTAGATATTTGATAAAGTCAGCCAAAAGTATAAATCAGACCTATTGGAGTCTACTGAAAATATTAGTCTAAATTTTGGAAAATTTTACTAAAGTCATAACATAGCTAAATTGTAAGAGAGTGCAGAGTGGTGTTCATAAAACACATTCAAAAGCACTTTAGTTGTGTTTTTTTTTTTTAAAAATTGGCAGTGTTTGTACGTATTAAGTACAGTGATTTTGTAGTATTTTTATGTGTAAAAATCTCCTTTTAGTAAGAAAAGTGAACATTATGCTGAATAGGCAAGTGTATTTATTTGGTAACCATATAAATGCAGCAGTATTTTTGATGGTAAGTTAGCTGGTTAGGTTCAGCTCACAGAAGTAGGTGAGACTGGTCAAAGGTCATCATGGAAGTATAAGATTTCTGTGATTCTTACATGTGAAACAGTTTGAAGCCAAACAGCAAAGACTGGGATAAGAGAGTGATTGAACAGTATGCAAATTTAGTAGTTTAGTAGTTTTGATATTTGTGATTACTTTCAAGTTGGTTCTGAGATAACATAGGAAGGGTGAAAGTAGTAAAATTCTACTAGGAAAGAAATTAAAATTGGATCTTATGGAAATGAAAGTTTCTGTATGTATGTATTGGTCAAAATAGTATATGGAAAAAATTTATTGAATTATGTCTTTTGGGGATATTCTTTGTATAGTTTCTATTTCATAGTATAAGTATCCTCTCTTAGAAGAAAGTAGATTCCAGGACTGATATTTGACCCTTCTTTGCATAGATTATGTAGTTATAAGTTTACTGAAAGCCAAAGTAAAACCTAAATATCTTATCAGTAGGAGAATGTAAATACAATTATGCTCTTTCCCTGTATGCACATTGTAAAGCATATAAAATGAATGACTAAGAACTGCATGAAACAGATGAATACACGTTAAATACAAAAATGAAAAAAAGGAAATTGCAAAATGATAAGATAGATAGTTCTGTATTATTTGAAAATTGCAGCATGGCAATGCCATATATATATACATATGACATATATATGTACATATATAGTTTATAAGGCATGCAGTAGTGGTAAATAATTATTTAGCATAGTGTCTTCCCATGGGGATGAAAGTAGAAGGGAGTATAATCTTACAGAGGTACACATGGGGCTTCAACTATATTTGTAAAGGGGATAAAGATCTGAAGGAAATTTAGCAACTTGATAAGATTCCATAAAGCTAGGTGGTAGATACATAGGGATTGATTATAGTGTACTCTCTTTTCCTTTGTGCTTGAAATATTCTAAAAGAAACAAAAAAAGTAGCAGAACATGTTAACATCAAAGTGTGATTATGACTTTAACCGAAGTGACCCTTTCTTTTTTTTCTTTTTCTTTTTCTTTTTTTTTTTGTGTGTGTGGTGTTGGGGATTGAAACCAGAGCCTTGTGCATGGGAGGCAAGCACTCTTAGGCAAGCACAACTGAGCTATATATCCTCAGCCCAAAGATGACCCTTGTTAATGCAACCATGCAGCCACAGCAGATAAGGTTTTCATGGCCTAAATTGTCAGTGATCTAGGTTTCTTTAAATACTCTATGTTCATGGACTGTATAGTTTTCCTGTGTTTGAGGAGTAGCTAAGAAAGAGCATTAGATGACCAATACCAACAGGTTGTTTCCAGTGAATCAGCTTGACGTTTTCTCAGAGAACTGTAGGGCTACCTTTTATAATTGTAATTTGTACTTACTGAAGGTCAGTCTAACATCTAATATAGTTGTTCATTTTATCCACAGCAAACTGGAAATCCTGAAGTAGTTTCAGGCAGCTGTAATATTTTGCTTGGTATCACAATATATTACATGTAGCAAGAGAAAATCTCTTTACTTCTTAGTGGGAGCCAGAAACTGAATAGCACTCTCTCTGTATTTGAATTTGAAGGAGAATAAATAATGTAGAAGATGCTGGTACTTGCTGAGCGGAAAGGCTGAATGGAGGTGGGGAGATAGGGAAACAGGAGACAGGAAAAAGGGAGCAAGGCTCAAATCCAGGAATGGAATTTCTGAGGTACCAGTGTCACAACTATTTTCTGAGGACTGGGGCTTGCTACAAACAAGTTCTTGACCATTACCTTGTGCTAAAATATCTCTCTATTTTCCTTTAAGCAAGGAAGTACCAATTTTCCAGGCCATAGAGTTTAATTCTGGGGACAGAGTTTACTGTGGCATTCAGAGGAGAAAGTACTGTGCATGTATGCTTGCGTGTGTAAAATTATGTATGAAAACTTAAACCTTTTGGACCACTGTGTCTGTAGGGAAAATTTACAAAAGGTGGAAGGATAACCAGCTTCACAGGAAATACTAATTTAATGAGTCTTAAAGGACGTGGAAATTTCGAGCTACTTCCCGTTATTCTGCAACTACTTGTGAGGAAGATACTTTTATTCCTATTTTAAAGAATAAAAGACTTGAATTGAGGAAGCTGAGAATCTTGGCCACAAGAAAACTTGAATCTGGTAAAGCTGATAGGGATCTACCTGACTTGGCAGCTTTGTCCTTTTTTTTTTTTTTGGTAGGGGGGTCACTCATACCCTTTGTAAAGGTAAAAGATGAATAGGATGTTGCCTTCTTGGTGTATGTTTTGGTTTAAAAAAATACTTGGTAGTTGTATTTGTTATTATTCTAGAGGTGTACTTTTAATAAATAGATTGTTTTTGTATGTCCAAATGAATGTGTACTGAGAATACAACCACATAACAGGAGAAACTGAACAGGACTCTCCTGACGTTGAATATGGAGGGGAGTAAATAATGCAGAAGAGGGAGCTGGTCCTGGGTGAGAAGAGAGGCAGAATGGAGAGACAGGAATGGGAACAGCTCATGTCTAGGAACAGAGCAACAGAGTCACATGCCAGGCAGGAATGGTGTGGGAGTGGCAGAGGCAGGGACTGGGCTGTGGGAAGAGGCAAAAGTTTGTTTACACAGAGAGGAAGTCCCATACTAAACAGGATCACATTTTTTTTTCCTGATGTTTGTGCTCACAGCTTCTTGTCTTTCTTTTTAAAACAGATGAGCAGATGTGGGGAGGCCCCAAGTAACTTAGCGAGACCCTGTCTTCAAAAAAGAAAAAAACAAAAACAAACAAACAAAAAGCCAACAATCTGGGCTTGGTTAAGTGGTTAAGTGCCCCTGTACTGAAAATAATAAACAAACAAACAAACAAACAAACAAATAAATAAATAAATAAATAAATAAACAAACAAACGACATGAACAGTTGTTTAATTTGAGGAACCATACATTGAGATAGACATCATATTCTGGATTTTTTATTACTTTCTGTTAACAAATTATTGGTGGCTTTTAGGTTGCTCTCAGTGAAGATGACTTAACAGTTTTAATGAAAATTTTGCTGGAAAATCTTGGAGAAGCTTCTTCACAGCCAATCCCTACACAATCTGTACAGGAGGCTGTAAGAGTGAGGAAAGATGTTCTGAGTGGTCCTGTCTTCCTCAAAGGTATAAATCCATGAAGATTTTTGCATTGATTATTGTCCATGTGATATTTATATTTAGTATATTTTAGTTGTCCAGCATAATGTGGTATAAATTGATTCATTATCATATTGTTTACTGTGGAAAATCTGCGAGGGCCAGATTTGCTTCTTTAAGCCCCTGGAGAAGCCTGTTGTATGTTACAGGAGGAAGGGTTATCTGTCCTTGATTGCATGATGCTTATTTGCATATACTTGTTAGAAGCTGAATTCAGTAGGCACTGAGGTAGTGTGTACCTTGAGAGAAAAATCAAAGTGGGCATACAGTGAAGTAAGGTCCGAAAATAATGTAGAGAGAAAAGGCCCTTTGTGTGATATAATCATGCTAACAGGTCAGAACCATGAGAAAGGAATGCATTCTTTCATAGTAACAGCTTTAGATCTGACTTTCTGGGAAAATGATATAATCAGATATATCAGAGAATCTTCAGACTACTAAAACTGAACTTTTAAAAGTTACTGAAGCTTTCAAATTCAACCATTTTTAAATGATAATTTTTCTAAAATATAAGGTTTCTTCTTTCTTAAACAATTACATGAAATATGCTTTCACTTGTTTTTTATTGACAGTCATTGGTATTATTAAATGTTTTATTAAACTGTAAATAGGTTAATATTTAAATGGCTAAAAAGAGATGAAATGCCTCTTGTCTTTAACATGGTCACAGGCTACTCCTTGGGCCTTTAGAATGCTCTCAGACCATCAGCTTACTTGGTAAAGCTGCCACTTAATAGAATTTCACCAACACTACTTCTTCTATAGAAAGGCCAGGCATACTTTGGAATTACACAAACGTATGATGACAACAATGTGCAAAATAAGGTTTCTGGTAGACAGTGATGAGTGTTACATAAGCTTGGTGAGGCCAGCATTTCTTTCCTCACCAGGTTGGGTTTGTGCTACCATGTAGACAAATGCTAGATGAGCAGGTCATTGTTATAGACCAAAACTATGTAGAGATGAATAAATCGTGACAGGCAGACTTTATGTGATTAATGATCTCATAAGGTTCAGCTGTGATCAAATTTGTGTATCTGGTTCTCATTATATGGTTGATGTGGCCCTTGGGAAAATTTGTGAATTCAGGTGGAAAGCTGCAAAATAATGAAGATTGGAATATACATTATTTTCAGGAAAAGTAGAGAAAAAAAAAAAAAAAACTAGGGTTTCCCATCTTGGGGAAGCCTTACATTGTTAAAATTATACAAGAGTGGCTTTTTCTATAGAATGATCGAAAAATTAGAATCAATTTCCAAAAGGATTATAGAATCATATTATAAAAGTGTTTGAAAGCAGAATCTGTTTCATCTGTCCTATCTGTCTGAAGATGAGACAAAAGACTAAAATATTTCTCTAAACATCTTCACTAAATTCCAGAGGCTTCCCCACCTGACATATTTTGCTGTTGAGTTGCATTCTATTCTTATAGAGGTAATAGGTAATACAGTTGCATTCTGTTCTTATAGAGGTAATAGGTAATACAGATAAATAAAGATAATGAGAAGAGTGCTTGACTAGCAGAGTATCTTTTGCTCTCTAATTCAGGGCAAAAAATCTGGCTTTTCTGTACTCCAACTTCTTAATCACTTGAGAATGGCTTGAATCAGTTAGATAAAAGTACCTTTATAATTATACCTCTGTTATAAGTCTTACTTTGGAGGGACTTTTTAAAAAGTTGTCTTGATTATTTTGTATGAGATAGTCTCTCTTTTTTAAAGCTGTGAATAATTTGCCTCTGCCACTTTGCCCTGTACTAAATATATGGAATAATCGTTGTCATTTTTATTGTCTTATGAGTTAAAGAACATTAGGAAGCTGGATATAAACTAAGAATAATAAATCATAGTCCCAGATTTTAAATATGTACAAAGCAATATACCTACTTAAAATCTTGCTAAATTTCATATTCATGTTTCTTTTTGTTCTATCAGATCAAGAACATTTGACAGACTCAAAGCCTTCTATGGACCAGAATGTTACTCTCCAATATGACTTTCATTTTGAATCTCTCTCCATTGTCCTTTATAACAATGATATCAATCAGGTGTGTATTAAATTTCTGTAGAGAAAAATTCTTTGCTTTGTTTTAGAATATTGGCATTTTAAAAAAATATTATTTCTTAGTTTTAGATGGACACATATCTTTATTTATTTTTTATGTGTTACTGAGGATCAAACCTAGTGCCCCACAGATGTGAGGCAAGCACTCTATCACTGAGCTACAACTCTAGCCCCTGGCATTTTTTTGATATGACCCTTTAAAAATTTTTTAATAGGTCTTCACTGTTTTAGTGTTTATTAGGCTAAGGAAAATCATTCAGGGTTCATTTCTTCTTAAGTAACATCAGCACCAAAGCACATTTTGCACTGTTGCTAACGGAGGACTTTTATATATAAGAGTGATTAATTATACGCTCAATTTTATTACATAGGTTGTGTATTTATTTGTATGTATATAAACCTATTTAATAAAAATAATTTAGTAGTGGCTTTGGAGCCTTAGATGATTATCCATGATATAAGCATATTAATTATGTTTATATTGAATAGATGTTATATATGGTAGATTTATATTAAGAATACCAATTGGGCTGGGATTGTTGCTCAGTGGTAGAGCACTCGCTTAGCACTGGCGGGACCCTGGTTCGATTCTCAGACCACATAAAAATAAAGGCATTGAGTTGTGTCCATCTACAAAAAAGATTCTCTCTCTCTCTCTTTTAAAAAAAAAAGAATACCAATTAAAAAATTGGAAGTCTAGTGCTATAATGATTTGAACTAAATAATATATCGTTGGTATTTTAGAAAGCTATTAATTATATATAGTCTTCTAAAAACATTTTATTATATCAGTTAATTATATCATGTTAATATCCATAATATATGTCATATAATATATAGGCATTGTATCTGTTGTTAATTTTCATTTTTATACACAAATTCATATTTCATAATGTTTTCTAAAAATTAGATAGTATTCATATATTGTTGCTGTTGAGCTTTGTGCTAATGTCTGTCATTTGTGCAGTAAACTGCCTTCATTTCTAATGTTTAATATTCATGAAAACATCAGAAAATGACCTAGTAGAAAATGGACGGTTAAATGCGATCTTCATTTCCCTTAAGAACAGTCATCTGCTAGTTCCTCAGCCTTAGAATCTTGCTATCTTCTTTGCTTCTTCTTTGTTCTCTTTTCTTATTCATATAAATACTGAGTTCTATCAGTTTTTCTTTGACTGAATGTTGTTCTGTTCTGTCAGTTCTCACATTGCTTTATTTGAGACCCTTAGTGGCTCACACATGTACTGCAGTGGCTTCCTTTCATCCATCCTAGACACTGGTACAAGTTCAGTGTCCTAAGTGAATCCATGGAACCATTTGCAAATTCCCATTCTAATAGGAACATTCAGTGTTTATGTATGTGTCCCTTTATGAAAAGGAAAAAAAATACAAATAACAACAACAACAAAAATACATCCAGTGGTCCAAATTGTCTATATCAGTAACTGTATTAGGAAACATTTTATGTTGTGATCATTATATTGTCACAGGTCATTTCTAACCATAATTACAGAACAGAAGTTTGTGAATTATTTCCATTTTTATAAGTTAAATGTATTAGAAACTTCCCAATAATGATGTCATTCTGACCTACTTGCATGCAATAAACTGTCTGGAATAGTGAAGGTGTAGAGTAACCAGTGTGCCAAGGATTGCACATCACCAGCATACCTCTCACCAAGGCCATGGACCGAACTGAGAAGCTGTGACTGATGTCCTTTACTTCCATGAAGTATTTTTGCTTTTGGTTTCTTAGATGGGATCTGTTCTTTATGAAATCTCGTTTTTCTTAGAGTACTTAGACTTTTGTGTTATGGTGGAGTAAATAAAAGTTTAAATCTTTATTGTGGGATTTGAGACCTTAATTAGGCCTCTGTTTTTCTTTCTAATTTCATTCCCTAGCATCCTTTAATTGGAATGTTCAAGCCTAATCACTCTACTTGGTGCCATGAAACGCATCTTGAAACATCAACTGTTTTTACCCAATGTAGAATGTCTTCTATCCTCTTAGCTATTTAATCCCATTTAGCCGCCAGTGTGCAGTGAAGTTCTCACTTTCTCCATGAATTTTTCCTATCCCATAATGATCTATTTGACTCTTTAGTTTTCATTATATATATTCTTTACCTAGCCACTTAATATTGAATAAACTTGGAATTAATATCCAATGTTTGATAATATTGAAATATGGAAAGATATAAATAATAATAAAATTACTATTTATCACAAGGTATTTTATCATTCACAATTTACAGTTGTGTTTTTGTGATGTTTCTTTAATCTGTAAGCTCATGGAGATCACCTATCAACCTGGTCCTTTCTCATAAACTCCATAGTTCTTATCACTGTTTTTTTTTTTTTTTTTAAATAGAAGAGCTCTTTAAATATTTAGTAGATCATGTGATTAACTGACACAAATGTTTCATGGTTATTTTTATTTGCATCAGACCGTGTATCAAGTTAATTTTATGCATTAACCATTGTTGAATGTCAGCACATACATACATGTATTTACTTGTATACATGTCTATATTCATAAACATGCATATTATTCTTGGATCCATTTGTGCGTTTTAGCACTAATACTTTTAAAAATCTGTAAAATTTATTTGTTTTTAGGCTCTGAATTAAGAAATATGTTTAAAAATAAGTATGTAGTATTTAAAGATTATTTATTTTTTTGCTTGAAAAATACACCACAGGAATCCAAACTTGCATTTCATAATGACAGTTTCCGCCTTGGTGAGCTCAGACTGTATCTGATGGCCTCTGCAGGGAAGATATTCAAGGATGGTTCAGTAAATGTCAGCCTTAAACTTAAGACATGCACCCTTGATGATCTCAGAGAAGGCATTGAGAGAGCAACATCAAGGTTTGTACATTAAGGTTGACTTTGCATTTGGTATTGTTACCAGGCATTTGGGCGTGGGATCATCAAAAGAGATCTGTCTTCTGGTCATACCTTGTGATTTGAATTGCATTAAGAAGTAGTGCTAATATCAGATTTAGCTTTAGATTTGATTTAATTTAGTTTAAATGAAAGGGAAGTTTATTAGTAAAATGGAGTACCATCTTGAAAATGAGGACTAAGAGAATATGAATTTTAATTGTTAAATTCATATGAGTGATATGTTGGTAATATATTTTCCCAAATTATCTCCTATAGGCAGTCTTAAAGCTATGGATCTTTTTTTTTTGGCCTGTGTCTTTCAAAACAATTCTGCAAATTTTGTTTTACTTTTAATAGGAATTGAATCCCTAGCATGATAACATTATCAACCTAGTTTTTGAAAGTTTAACATAGATCAGCCTACTATAAAGAGAAAAATATCTGACTACAATAGTCTAATTATATTTGTATTCCTTTCTCTAATGAGACACATAATACTTTGTACTTGATTTTTTTTTTTTAAGGGAAAAAAACCTGTGTTACTAAACTTGGACTTCATTGAATACATACTGGATAGTTCTGAGTTCTTTATTTTTCTGAGAAATTAATAAATGAAGAAAGAGTGCTTTTATACACACAGCTTTTCTAGTTTTTAAATTTCATATCTAGCAGTCCACAGCTCTGTAGGTAAGGTTGATAAATGCCACCATCTGTTTGGTAGTCTGGTCTTCCTAGCCCATGTGAAGATGTATAAGAACTATTTGTGAAGACACTTAATAAACACTTGCTGATTTGAGTTGCAGTGAATACTTTCAAATCGAAGTGCATAGGATGATCTTTGGAAATAAATTCCTTCAGCAAGATTTTATTTAATAAAATAGAGGTTGTCTTATATTTTATGAACCACATTGATATATTTTGTTAATTGCCTAAATTTGTTTCCAGCATCATTGGTGTTTCTTTTTTTTTTAATGTTTATTTTTTAGTTGGACACAATATCTTTATTTTATTCATTTATTTTTATGTGGTGCTGAGGATGGAACCCAGGGCCTCCCATGTGTGGGAGGCAAGCGCTCTACCTCTGAGCCACAACCCCAGCCCCAATCATTGGTGTTTCTAATATTGCATTCTAATTAAAATATTCTGTTATTGCTTAATCACATAAATCTTACTTTGGGGATTAGGAGACCATGTCTTGGTTGCTAATTAGGTAAATACATACCAGTTAACACTGTCCTGTTTTCTATTCAGATTAGACACTGAAAAGTGAAAGAAAGATCATTAAAATGTATAGGAAAACTTTCATCTTTTTTATTTCGGCAGAACTAAAATAATGGTGTTTGTTTGTTTGTTTGTTTCAGGATGATAGACAAAAAGAATGACCAAGATAACAACAGTTCTATGATTGATATAAGTTACAAACAAGACAAAAATGGAAGTCAAATTGAGGCTGTTCTTGACAAGCTATATGTATGTGCCAGTGTGGAGTTTCTGATGACTGTGGCAGATTTCTTTATCAAAGCCATGCCACAGAATCCTGAAAATATGGCAAAAGAAATACAGATTCCACCAAGACAGACTGCCACAGGGAAAGTCAAGATAGAGAAAGGTTAGCAGAATTTACCTGTTAGAGATGACTACTTGTGCTTTTTAACAAAAGTTACAAACAGAAGGAAAGAGTAGTAGAGAATTTGAGAAAGTAAATTAGACTTTCAAATTTAAACATATTCTATATAAAAGCTTTAGTGAGAAAATATTTTGAAGAGCAAGGTTTAGTAGAAATATATTGGGCTTTAAAGAATTGTAGCACATTGAAGAGCAATTAAAAAGATAAAATGAGACCTAGCATGACTACCCTATCACCTTTTAATACTTTAAAGTGTCAGAAAATTTACCAGTGTCAGACCTAGATGTATGCTGAAGTCACTTTCAACTCTGTAATTTTTTATATTCTAGCGTTACCAAGTAAATCAGTGATTTTCTGTATTCATTTATAATTATTTAAGATCAGGCATTTTTTTCCTCCAGTGCAGCACCCAACAAGATTGGAAAACTAACTTTTATTGGCAAGGTCAAATATTATTTTTCCATTTACTTTTAATGTTTCTTAAGTAGTAATCATTCTTGATATCTCTGTAGTTATTTACATATTAAATTTATTTATTTATTTGTAGTTATTTACATATTAAATTTATTTATTTTATTTATTTTTAAGTTGTAATTTGGACACAATACCTTTATTTTATTTTTATGTGGTGCTGAAGATCGAACCCAGGGCCTTGCATGTGCTAGATGAGTGCTCTACCACTGAGCCACAAGTCTAGCCCCATTAAATATATTTATATTATACATTATATGATACTGATTATGGAGTTTTGGATGAAACCAAATGACAACAGTTTAACTGCTTTACCAGCGTCTTTTTTTTCTCCCGGATAGTTCTTTCTCTAGTTTTCCCCTCCTTGCTGCTGCAACATAGCATAATACATTATCATATGTATATACAGGCACATACCTTAATTCTGGCCCAAGAATTTCAAAACACCATTATTCCCAACTAAATCAAATATCAAAGTGAGAATGAACTTTTTTAGACAGGTTTCAAATTACGTTTTCTTGTACTATCAGCATTTGATAATATCATTTAATAATTAGTGTTGATAAACCAATTACTAGTATTAACTTCAACATATCCATCATAGTAAGAATATTGAGAACAACTTAGTAACTAGTAGATGATGTGTAGATAAGTGAAAATTTACTTTAAAAAATTTTTGTTCCCTTTTTTGTTTCTTCAGATGATTCTGTAAGACCAAATATAACTTTAAAGGCCATGATCACAGATCCAGAAGTGGTGTTTGTTGCCAACCTGACAAAGGCTGATGCTCCTGCTCTGACAGCTTCCTTCCAGTGTAACCTCTCTCTGTCAACATCTGAACTTGAGCAGATGATGGAAGCTTCTGTGAGAGATCTAAAAGTGCTCGCTTGCCCTTTTCTCAGAGAAAAGAGAGGGAAAAACATTACCACAGTAAGAATTGCCTTGTATCATAATTTTGAGAAGGGCAGAATCCTAAGTAGGAGAGCTCTTAAGGACTTTACAGATTATTTACTAAAACCTTGGGGTTTTTCAGATAAGGATACTAAGTTCCAAAGATATTAAATAACTTAATTATAGCTGCTGGTAATAAAAGTAGGAGTTACCTTCAGACTAGTTTTCTTTATATTATCCTCTATTAAATAGTATTTAAATTGTAGTACACATCAGTATTTTTTGTTTTAGTTATTGTTTTGTTCGCTGTGGTATGCCCAATAAGTGAATGAATGAGTATTTAATCTTGAAATGAAAAATTTATATGGAGTCAGAGAACCAAAATAGATGGTGTTCTTCTGTTATTAAAAGTTAATTTCAGTTATTTTCATATCATTATTGAAAAATATGATTTTAGTTAATTAACAATTAACACCAATTATTTTTTAATGTTAGTGATAATTTTTATGATAAAAGGACCACTGTTATTTGACTCATTGGCAGTGTTAGTTTAAATTTTAAAAAATTTGTGGGCTGAGAGACTTGCATAAAAATATAGTTCTAGGCTTCATATATACTTTATCATGAAATGTTCTTTGACAGATCATCTTTTGATGTGTCACAGAAGGCTTATAGTAATCACTTCATTGAAAGATCATCCTAATTTTTTCAAAATTATTATGCCATAGTAATTACCCCATTTAGTTTGGGGCAAAATTATTTTGTTTCTTTAATTGTAAATAAGAATATAGACTTCATCATTTTAATCAGTTTTGAAGATTTGAGATTCATTCTAATAAGGACTTTTGGTGGTATTCAAGACTAAATTGTTAATTATCTGAAAATGGTCATTTATCTACCTTACTACAGTTATTGGTTCATTTTTATAGATATCTCAAAAATATATTTTACAGAGGGTATCAATGAAAATATTTTAGCAAAAGGAAACATTTTAAACTTCTAATAATAAGTTGCATTGTTACTTGACAATTTGGAATGAAAAAAGTTATGAGAACTGTTAAATGTTCTTTAACAATGTTCATAGATTTGTCATAGTTCACAGAAGCCCTCCTACAAAGTTCTTAGTTAATTTGATTTCCTTTTTTGCTTTTAATAGTAAGCTTGAGTAAGAGGTAGCTCTCATAAGGGTCTGTTACACATTTACTGAAACTGTTACTAAGGAAGTGTGAATTTCATTTATTTGTTTCTAGGTCTTACAGCCCTGCTCATTATTTATGGAAAAATGTACATGGGCCTCAGGAAAACAAAACATAAACATTATGGTTAAAGAATTTATAATTAAGGTTAGTACCTATCATGTTCTTTGGGTGAAAATTCTTATTTTTCTAACAGTGTTGTATATTTGCAGTTACTTAAAATGGTATCTTTTTTTTTTTTTTTATTGTTGGTTGTTCAAAACATTACATAGTTCTTGATATATCATCTTTCACACTTTGCTTCAAGTGGGTTATGAACTCCCATTTTTAGCCCATATACAGATTGCAGAATCACATCAGTTACACATCCATTGATTTACATATTGCCATACTAGTGACTGTCATGTTCTGCTACCTTTCCTATCCTCTACTATCCCCCCTCCCCTCCCCCCCCACCCCTCTTCTCTCTCTACCCCCTCTACTGACCTTCATTTCTCCCCCTTGTATTATTTTTCCCTTTCCCCTCATTTCCTCTTGTATGTTCTTTTGTATAACCCTGAGGGTCTCCTTCCATTTCCATGCAATTTCCCTTTTCTCTCCCTTTCCCTCCCACCTCTCATCTCTGTTTAATGTTAATCTTCTTCTCATGCTCTTCGTCCCTACTCTGTTCTTAGTTACTCTCCTTATATCAAAGAAGACATTTGGCATTTGTTTTTTAGGGATTGGCTAGCTTCACTTAGCATAATCTGCTCTAGTGCCATCCATTTCCCTGCAAATTCTATGATTTTGTCATTTTTTAATGCAGAGTAATACTCCATTGTGTATAAATGCCACATTTTTTTAATCCATTCGTCTATTGAAGGGCATCTGGGTTGGTTCCACAGTCTTGCTATTATGAAAATGGTATCTTTTGATGTCTCTTACCACTCCAGCATTGTGTTAGTCATCTTGAAAAATCAAAGACCTCTAACATTAAAAAACATTTTCTTTAATGTAAATGTTTATTTTGATTTCCTTTGAAAGGATACTTTTTAATATTTTTTAAAGATCAGAGTGGTTTTCTCAATTATATTTGCATGCATGTGGAGGGGAGAGGAGAAATGGGGAGAAAAAGAGGGAAGAAAGGGTGGTGAGATGAGGTTGCCATTACTTCATTTGAAATAAATTACATTATTTGATGTAAAATTTGAATCAGTTTAATAAGTGAGTGATTAAATGCTTTATTTGACTTACAAAGTATTTGTAATGACAGGTGTGTGCTAGAAATAACTTTTTAGATTTTGCTTTTTTAATTTAAAGGATTGAAAAAATTCTCTATTCTTTAGTGGCATTCAGATTCTTTAAATATGACTTTGTGCCCAGTTACAAATGGAAATTCAGAATGGTTTCTGAAATCCATTTTTTTTCTTTCCAAAGGATGCAAAAATTAGATAGTTGATGCCAATAATATGTTTTCTCTAGCTGTGAACTTAATGTATTTAAAATTTTAATTAATTTTTAAAGCTCTATCATATATGTATTAATTCTTCTCATCTGGGAAAGAATCTGTTCTAAATGTTTTTCTGCTTTCCTTTATAAAGATCTCACCCATAATTCTTAATACTGTGATGACAATCATGGCTGCTATGTCTCCAAAGGCAAAAGAAGTTGAATCTAAAGATACATCTAAGGAAATGGAAAATCTTTGGGATGTCAGATCTATTAGTGATTATAACTCTTGGTTTCTTGGTGTTGACTTGGCAACAGAATTAACAGAAAATTTCAGAGACAGTGAACAACCACGGATAGAGGAAAATTGTGCTATTACTGTGGAGTCAGTTCAGATTACCTTAGAATGTGGCCTTGGGCATCGAACAGTACCTTTATTACTGGCAGAGTCTATGTTTTCAGGCAGTATTAAAAATTGGACTTCTCTGATGGCTGCTGCAGCTGACATGACACTACAGGTATGGATACATCATTTAGAATCTTCAGAGCCAACTTCTTGAAAGTACAATTGCAGAATCAAGAGATGAGATTTTTTGTTGCTATTGTTTATGCATGGTAACAACAAATACATATATGAATAGATAATATATTTTTTGTTTATGCATGGTAACAACAAATACATATATGAATAGATAATATATTTTAACATTTAATTTGTATAAATTGATGTATAATTGTATTGTGGGAATTGATTTTAAGAAATCTTTGGCTAAATAATTTGTTTAAGACAATAAAGAAAGGATAAAGGGAAATACACTTGACACTTTTTGTATCTTTCAGTGGGGTTTATAAATGGTTTTTGACATTTTTTTTTCTATGCTAGTTACAGAGTTATATAATTAAAGTTGAAAGACTAACATAATTCTGACTTTTCAGGTTCACTATTACAATGAAATCCATGCTGTGTGGGAGCCACTGATTGAGAGAGTGGAGGGGAAGCGACAATGGAATTTAAAGGTTAATGTAAGGAAACCATAAAATATTTTTGTATAGAGTGACACTCTGTATATTTATTAATATTTTTTAGTTCAGGGATTCTCAAGATGCAGTCCAGGATCCTTGAAGCCATTTCAAGGGGTCCATGTGATTAAAACTCTTTTCATGGTAATACTCAGACATAACATATCATTTTTGTCTTCATTCTCTCATGAATGAACTATGGAGTTTCCAAGGGATTTCTTGAATATAATATTGAGCCAGATTGAGTGCACAATAGAAATCAGAGTTCATCTCTTAAGGCAGGTGCTGAAGCGATTTGTAAATGCCCCATTTCTCACTATTTATATATTTTATATAGTTATTTTTCATTAAATAACTTAAATCTAACATTTTCAAATGTGTATTAAAATCTTATGTTTTCATTTTGAATAGTTTGGATATAGGTAGATGTAACTCATATAAATTTAGAAGCTCTTTGAGATATTCAGTGATTTTTAAGAGACAGACCAAAAAAGTGGAGAGAGAATTTTATTATTATTTATGAACAAGTCTTTTGTATTACTTCTTTATGTATTACTTGAGAGCACTTCAGAAGTCTATATACCAAAGCACATTTTTCTAGAATAACGGGAAGGTGTTATATACTCTGAATAATGAACTAGAAGTGGTATTTGTCTCTCTGATGTAAAGAAGCTAAGAAAGAATGTTTTACAGCCTTTTGAAATGTTATTAGAATAAAAACATGATTGTGATACTGCAACAGGTTGAATCTGATGGCTGGTTGAAAGCTAGTATTACTTTTGTATATGTGTTAATTGTAGAAAACAGAAGGAAAAAACTTATTTCCAGATGATACCACCAAATAAGGACTAATGTAGAATTTGGGGCCGTCTTAGGTCATAATCATCACTTAGTCCACACTAAGTAATTAGTTGTACTCTGGGAGATCCACAGGAGGCAAATCTAATAGCTGACTTTGAGTGCTTTCATGTTATGGTTCTAAAAAGCATCTTCCCATGGATTATGCACTGAAAGAAAGATTTCTCATCTGCACTAAGTCAGTGGGAAGCTCTGAATATTTTTGAAAATGAGACTTGAAAAGCCTTAATGTAAAGCAACCAATTTAGAAGAATTCAATACTATATTTTAATTTTATTATTGACTGATAACTTAAATTTGTTATATTGTTTAATTATAGGTAAAGAAGAACCAAATACAGGACAAAAGTTTGATGCCAGGAGATGATTTTATTCCTGAGCCACAAATGGCAATTCATATTTCTTCAGGAGATACAATGAATATAACAATATCCAAAAGTTGTCTTAGTGTTTTCAACAATTTAGCAAAAGTATGTTTGATTCTTGTTTGGAATATATTAAATAGAACTTGAGAATGAAACATGTATGGATATTTTTTTGTCATCAAAATTAGTTAAAAAATGTGTAATAGTGGTAAAATGTTTGAAAGAAATATACATATTGTAAAAATGATGATGATTTATTCCTTTTCAGGGTTTTTCACAGGGTGCTGCTTCTACTTTTGACTACTCCTTAAAAGACAGGGCTCCTTTTATGGTAAAAAATGCTGTAGGTGTTCCCATTAAGGTGCAACCAAATCGTAATCTCAGAGTGATGGGCCCCCCTGAGAAAAGTGGCATTTATGATGTGGATGCTGGTCAGAACTTGGAGCTGGAATATGCCAGCATGGAACCTTCACATCAAGGGAAACTGTGTGTACTCAGCCGTCAAGAAAGCTCCTTCTTCACTCTGACCTTTGGTATGCTAATTATTTTAAGAATGTCTTAGGAATTGCTGTGGGCTTATTTTTGATAAGAGATAAAGAAACATTTTGCAGCAGATATCTTGGGAGACAACTTTCTAAAGGCTTGGAGTAAATAATTAATAAACTAATGTCTTATTTTCTTCTAAACTTGAAAAAGATTAAATTCAAGAAATACTTTGCAAAACTAGATTATTTCAATGTTCTTTAGTAATACAACTTATAGTATGCTTCAAAAAGAATAAGATTTCAATGAGAGAAAATAATGATATTCCAAAGTCCTAAAATATTGATAGTAATTACTACCTTCTCAAATTCTATAAAATATTCATCATTATTTTGAGGTGCTGATGATTATTAATGAATAAATATTTGGACTTATTTTCACTTATGCTCTGTCTTAGTACCGCATGGATACACAGAAGTTGGAAACATCCCTGTTGCCAGACCTGGACGGCGATTGTACAATGTACGGAATCCCAATGCCAGTCATTCTGATTCAGTCTTGGTACAGATTGATGCAACTGAAGGGAATAAAGTAATTACCCTGCGTTCTCCCCTGCAGGTAATGCTTTAGGGTGAATTGTGTCACTTTCTCTAAAGCAGAAAATATTGTTTAGCTGAATAGAAGAATATATAGTAGAACTTCATTATAGTGCACTGAAAAGGTTCCTACTCTATAACTTGATTTTATAATATTCTTTATTTTAAATGTCTGATACATTTGTTATCTCCTGCTTTTAAATTAATGAAATTGTTTTTGTATTCTTTTAAAAATTCAGAACTGAGGAATATTGTAATTATCGTTAGTTGTAAAATAGGATAATAGTTCCTTCTCTTTGTACAATATTTGGAATCACATTTTTCAAGTGCATATGAAGAAATATTGGAATTATCTACTTTCCTGAAAAGAATTTAGCATTTTAATCTATAAATATTTTCTACTTTTAAGGCTTTATTAAACATTTTTCTTCTTTTGCACATTATAGATTTTGGGATCGGATCAATATATGATCAGCAAAAGGACATTTCTTCATTTCTATAACATCAGATAAAAATTGAAAAGATTTCAAATTTTGGCAATTAATCTCTCTTTATTATTGATTCCAGCAAATATACTGTAGTCAAGAATAAACTTATACTGTACTTCTCAAATAGCTTTTGCTCTTCTATTTAGTTTAGTCATATGATGCATACATAAATGGTTGTAATGGAGAAAATCTGACTGAAATTGACAAAGAGCAATGCATATTTGAAAGATAGTATAATAAACTAAAATAAACATAAGCATGTAATTATAGGACTATGTGAATATCTTAATTTTCATTTAGATCTCAAGTTTAATATACATTGCATTTATCTATCCTAAAATTTTTCAATTACCAATGAAAATGCCTTCCAATATTGGGTTTGAAAACTTCTAGACCTAAAAGTAATTACGTGCAGCTTTTTAATTTGTCTATCCTTTTTAAACTATTGTATGTCCTTTTGTCTAACAGATTAAAAACCATTTCTCTATTGCATTTATCATCTATAAATTTGTCAAGAATATTAAGCTGTTGGAGCCCATTGGAATAGCCAGACCTGAAGAGGAGTTCCATGTTCCTTTAAATTCATATAGGTAGATATTTCATTGAATATATAAAGCTTTAAAAACTTTGTAATATATATTTTGAATTTTATGTTTTGTTTTTTTGTTTTGGTTTGGTTTTTGGTTTTTGGTATGGGTTATTAAACCCAGAGGTACTTTACCACTGAAATACATTCCCAGTCCTTTTTATTTCTTTTTTTATTGTGGGGCAGAGTCTTACTAAATTGCTGAGTCTGGCCTTGACCTTGTGATCCTCCTCCTTACCCTCCAGAGTCTCTGGGATTACAAGCATATACCATTGTGCCTGGCTAGGCATCTTTTTTCTGGAAAAAAATAACCTTATATTTTTATAATGTAAGAGCTATAAAAGCAGTTTTAGGTTTAAGACAGTTTTTAAGTGCAGAAAAACACATTTATATTATTAATGAACTTGCAAGATGAAATGCCTTCTTTTTTATATATATTTGATGTTTTAGAATTATCTGAGATCTATATTTATCTGACTGCCTTTGTATTTGAAATGAAAAAAATTTTACATTGCCCTTGTTTACAGAGTGCTTTTTCCCAGAAAGTTCCTCTGTGAGTTAGACATGTGACTGTGGGCAAGTTTCCCAACCTTTCTTAGCTAAGACTTCCTAACCTGTAAAGAGAAGAATAATAGTACCTATTTTGTAGAGTTATCAAGAAGATTTAATGAGATTATTTTTCTTATATCTCAATCAAAACTTTTTCCTTCCTGGTTTCTTTTTCTGCAGATGTCAATTGTTTATTCAACCAGCCGGAATCTTAGAGCATCAGTACAAAGAATCTACCACTTATATTTCCTGGAAGGAAGAACTTCACAGGAGCAGGGAAGTCAGATGCAGGTTGCAGTGTCCATCAGTGGAAGTCAACTTCCTGCCTCTCATAGTGAATACAGTTGCTGTGCCTGATGAACTAAGCTATATCAGCACACATGGGGAAGATTGGGATCCAGCTTACATTATTCATCTTTACCCTCCTCTCACTCTGCGGAATCTTCTCCCCTATTCTTTAAGATATTTACTCGAGGTATATTTCTTGTTTAGCTTTTATTATTGTATAGAATGAACTCTAGTTTTGTTTTATAGCATTTTTAGTTGAAGTCTGTGTTTTATATAGCTTAGTTGATAATGCTTTAATAATATTAATGATAGGAAAAAGCAGCATAGCATTCATATGTCAGGAGCTGTATTGTGTACTTTACATGTATTGGCATGTTCAGTCTTTATAGTAACTTTTTGTAGTAGATACTGATGAGGAAACTGAGTTAGGGAGAGGTTAAATGATTGGCCCACCATCCCATATCCACTTAGTATTTGAGCCAGGATTTAAACATAGGCACTTCAGTTCCTCAATTCCTAATACTTGTCCTTGCTACATCTATCAGAAATTAAGAACCATAGTCATCTTTTCATTCATTAAGTAAAATTTTATTATCTAAAGGGGAGAAAAAGTCAATGAGAAAATACTTCATCTTAAAGTTTTTATTTAAAAGAGTTAATAGTATGATTATTTGGTCTACAGTTCTAATGAAAACAAAAATAATTACTATCTTAAATAATAAGAAATATTTTCCCTAGTAGTGGGGTATGATAAATACTTTCAAATTTGTACATGCTATGATATTTTAAAGTCACAGAGTATGGAACCTCAATTTTTTTTTAATCTAACAATGAGCTATTCCTGAGTTGTACAGACAAAAATTAATTAAATGAACTAAATAGTATTTATACAAAAGACAGTTTTAGTAAGAAACCCTGATTTATATTTTGCTATTATTTATTTTGAAAAAAATTACACCATAGATAACTTGTCAGAGTAGTTCAATATCATTTTCCATATTCCATCCTTATGGAACCATCAGGTGTGATATTTAAATAGAGGATGAAACTGAAGCCCAGGCACTTAAGAGGCTTATTTAATGATGTAGCTCTGGTGGACAACAGTCAGGATTTCTGAATCTAGCCCAGGATTCTTGATATAGATATGAATATTTTATCAAAACTTATGATTGTTGACCTACTAATGGCCAAAAGACAGTGCTGCTTGTGGCTATGGCATAGTGTTTTCTTTTTAGTCCTTAGTGATTACTGGGTTGTCATAATATTTGAACAAGGTTCTTGTTTGAAGAGTTGGTAGTTAATTTAGCGTTTGTGTAAAACATGAATTTTGCTATTTCAAAAGTTTCAAAAATTGCTGAGCAAATTTTTTTTGTGTGTTTATTTTTAGGGAACAGCAGAAACTCATGAACTAACCGAAGGCAGTACTGCTGATGTTTTACATTCACGAATCAGTGGAGAGATCATGGAATTAGTCCTGGTGAAATACCTGGGCAAAAACTGGAATGGACATTTCCGCATATGTGATACACTTCCCGAATTCTTTGTTGTGTGCTTTTCTTCCGACTCCACAGATGTGATGACAGTCGATCTGTCCATACATGTCAGGCGAATTGGCAGCCGATTAGTGCTCTCTGTGTTTAGTCCCTATTGGTTGATCAACAAGACTTCTCGTGTTCTTCAGTATCGTTCAGAAGATATTCACGTGAAACATCCAGCTGATTTTAGGGACATTATTTTATTCTCTTTTAAGAAGAAGAACATTTTTAGTAAAAACAAGGTATGTTTTTGTTCATAAAGCAAGTTTAAATAGGAGAATCTCTTCTCTAGAAACTTAGGAACCTGACACTATGCTTCCCTGTTTTTTAAGTACCATTGGTGTGAATTAAGTTCAGTGGGACTTTAAGGAGTGCAAAATCAAGTGGGATGGCAGGAACGACAGCAGTTTGATAAGACTCAGTTGCTCTTTCTCTCCTATCTGTAACATTACTTCTGTTCTTAAATTCATGACAGATAAAATAGTTTTATTTCATATACTTTCCTGGTGATAAAGCATTTCTAAAGATATGGTGACTGAATATACTTACATTAGCTGAGTCTTCGGTGGGCACAGCATTAAGCTAGGGTAGAGAAGCCTAAAGCTTGAGCCTGATCTTTTATGTTCTCGTCCCTTCTTTCCTCTTCAGATGCACATCTGCCTTCTTTACTTTCCCATGTGCTCACTTCTAGGCTTTTGCATATGCCTCACCTTCTGCCTAGACAGCCTCTTCCCCTACCCTTTTCCTGTTTCCCTCATCTTTCCTGGTTATCTATAGTTTGTCCTTTGGCATTCTGCTTAGGCCTGATATGTGTGAAGATTTTCTGACTATTTTAAATAAATCTGGACATACCACTCATGTTCTCTCAGAATAGTTCTTAAATTTCAGTGTACATTAGAATGGGCTTTTAAAACTATTTACTGAATTATGTCCCCCAAAGTGAGTTTGATTCAGTCTGTCTGAGTAGGACCTGAGAGACCACATCCTTAATAGATTCTTTGGTGATGCTGATGCTGCTGGTCTGAGGACCACTTTGAGAACCACTGTTTTGGAGTGGTGATTATCTGTTTATGTGTCTGGCCTCTGGTTATCCTCAGTTTTTTTTTTTTTTTTTTTTTTTTTTTTTTTTAATAATCTAGTTGGGTAGATACGGGTGAGACTAAATCTGGTGCACAGGTATGTCTTCTTCTGTAAGACATTCTCTAAATTCTAGCGTCATTATCTTCTCACCCTGATAACATTTTGTACCTTTTGTATGGCTCTTGTCACATTGAGTCTTGCATCATAATTACTAGTGTGTATTTCTTGTTCTCTGGTCCAGTTGCTCATTGAAGACAGGAACTGGGTCCTTCTTTCTCCCATTCTTACTTTCACAATACCTTTCATTTAGTGCCTGCTGAATAATATTAAAGATGAATTCTCAGAGTTCTCAAACTGTTAAGAATCTGTTAACTCTATATAATAAGTCTAACACTGGAACATATCATTTTGCATTACAACTTCAAAAAAAAAAAAAAAAACAATATCTCTTCAGTTCACTATACTCATTGCTTAGGTAAATGGGAAAGTCAGAGCTGTGCTGTGGTTGTCATTCCATAGTGTTTTCTGTGGTTCTGTTATTCATTTGTAGTATGGCTATCATTGTATTTTTGTGTCCTATGATACTGAAGAAATTTCTTGCAGTTCTTTCCATCAAATCAAATGAATATCATCTTTCAGGTTTTTTATATGATGATATTATTCTCTGTTACAGGTTCAGTTAAAAATTTCAACTAGTTCTTGGTCCAATAGTTTCTCATTGGATACAGTGGGAAGTTATGGGTGTGTGAAGTGTCCTGCCAACAATATGGAATACCTGGTAAGAGTCGACTTCCCTATTTACCTTGGACTCCATTCACCAATCCCACAATTCAGTTAAACCGCTTAGGTCCTAAAGAGTACAGATATCAGAATTGAAAGTATTATGTGGAGAGGTCTCTCTTACCAGTTTCTTTGATCACTGTTAATAAAGCAGAAGTGGAATTTGTCACAGATTAATACAATGGGTTGAATCTACCCAAGTGTGTAGTTTGGTAAATATTGATAGCATGGTAGAATCTTCATTCTGTACAGTCCCTGCCAAGTATAAATTTGAATAATTGGATACCAACTGAACTGTTTTAGGACTACAAAATTTTTATTTTATTTATTTTATGACAGATAATAAAGCCACAAAACTTGAGCCTCTCCACTAATTATAAATCAGTCTGTGTCTGGAATATTTAAAGTGTCTAATAAAAATAACAGAGGACACTTTAAATCTGTCCTTGCAAGGTGTCATTAAATTCCTGATTGAAGTTCTTGAATTGGTTTCTGATAGAGTCATATTAGGGAACAAAAATTTTTCTTTTTAGTGAGAAGATACTCATTATCTTATGTTCATAGCTTATGTTCATTACTTAATGTAAGAATTCTTATTTTAAAATATTTTAAGAATCAGTGTGTAAATGAAGGAATATGTGTAGGTTTTAGAGATTGCATAAAATATTAGGAAATAAACTTGTTTCCTTCTCACAGGTTGGTGTTAGCATCAAAATGAGCAGTTTTAATCTTTCACGAATAGTTACTCTGACTCCCTTTTGTACCATTACAAACAAGTCATCATTAGAACTAGAAGTTGGTGAAATTGCATCTGATGGCTCAATGCCAACTAATAAATGGAACTATATTGCTTCTTCAGAGGTAAGTCTTCATTTACGTATTCCTACAGTATAGAAACCAGTATTGACATGTAAATAAGGATTTTATGTATCTCTTTGTCATATTTGCTCTATCATATTTATGTGTTAAAATATGATGGCCAGCTTTAAAAGATTTTTATATTATATATATATATATATATATGTGTGTGTGTTTTTAAAAAAAGAGGATAATTGTTGATATTTACCCATATCTCAATCTAAATGATTAATTGTCCTTCTCTAGTCCTTATATAAACCATTGCTATGTACTGTGAAAAGTACACATAGATAATGTACTCTATATAGTCTCAGTTGTCAAGATGATGTCTCTGTACTCAAGAAACTATAATCTTATAGGCAAGGATTAAGCTGTATATCAATTAACAAATGGAGAGAAAGATAGTGTAAACAAAGTTATAAGTGGTTATAGAATTTCTGAGTAGAGAAGATGGAATTTTCTTGCAATTCAGCTCTCTCACTTTACAGAAAAGAAATCAGGTTAACACTTTTCCAGGGTCAACAAGGTCATTGATAATTGAATTGATGGGCATTCGTGGTCTATATCAAAAGGTTGAGCTTTGTTGTACAGTTGGGATTTGAACTGAACTTTGCAGGCTCAGTAATATTTAATGAGGTGAAAAGAATGAGGGATAAAGTGAAGGAAGAGGGTACTACTGCAAAGATGAGCAGTAGTCCTTGACTTTGACCCAGTTTTCAGTCAAACTAGCTGACCTTCAGGATAGCTGAAGTTCATTTTTAGTACTGCTCAAAAAATATTCTGAAATTATTATTTTTTTTTTTTTTTTTTTTTTTTATTGTTGGTTGTTCAAAACATTACATAGTTCTTGATATATCATCTTTCACACTTTGCTTCAAGTGAGTTATGAACTCCCATTTTTAGCCCATATACAGATTGCAGAATCACATCAATTACACATCCATTGATTTACATATTGCCATACTAGTGTCCGTTGTGTTCTGCTGCCTTTCCTATCCTCTACTATCCCCCCTCCTCCCTCCCCTCCCCTCCCCACCCTTCTTCTCTCTCTACCCCCCCTATTGACCTTCATTTCTCCCCCTTGTATTATTTTTCCCTTTCCCCTCATTCCCTCTTGTATGTTCTTTTGTATAACCCTGAGGGTCTCCTTCCATTTCCATGCAATTTCCCTTTTCTCTCCCTTTCCCTCCCACCTCTCATCTCTGTTTAATGTTAATCTTCTTCTCATGCTCTTCGTCCCTACTCTGTTCTTAGTTACTCTCCTTATATCAAAGGAAACATTTGGCATTTGCTTTTTAGGGATTGGCTAGCTTCACTTAGCATAATCTGCTCTAGTGCCATCCATTTCCCTGCAAATTCTATGATTTTGTCATTTTTTAATGCAGAGTAATACTCCATTGTGTATAAATGCCACATTTTTTTAATCCATTCGTCTATTGAAGGGCATCTGGGTTGGTTCCAAAGTCTTGCTATTGTGAATTGAGCTGCTATGAACATCGATGTAGCAGTGTCCCTGTAGCATGCTCTTTTTAGGTCTTTAGGGAATAGACCAAGAAGGGGAATAGCTGGGTCAAATTGTGGCTCCATTCCCAGCTTTCCAAGAAATCTCCATACTGCTTTCCAAATTGGCTGCACCAATTTGCAGTCCCACCAGCAATGTACAAGTGTACCCTTTTCCCCACATCCTCGCCAGCACTTGTTGTTGTTTGACTTCATGATGGCTGCCAATCTTACTGGAGTGAGATGGTATCTTAGGGTGGTTTTGATTTGCATTTCTCTGACTGCTAGAGATGGTGAGCATTTTTTCATGTACTTGTTGATTGATTGTATGTCCTCCTCTGAGAAGTGTCTGTTCAGGTCCTTGGCCCATTTGTTGATTGGGTTGTTTGTTCTCTTATTGTCTAATTTTTGCAGTTCTTTGTATACTCTGGATATTAGGGCTCTGTCTGAAGTGTGAGGAGTAAAGATTTGTTCCCAGGATGTAGGCTCTCTATTTACCTCTCTTATTGTTTCTTTAGCTGAGAAAAAACTTTTTAGTTTGAGTAAGTCCCATTTGTTGATTCTAGTTATTAACTTTTGTGCTATGGGTGTCCTATTGAGGAATTTGAAATTATTTTTAAAAGTACTTAGCAAAAGACTCAAAAGGAAGGATTCTTATTTCAGTAAAAACGTATTTAGAGCTCTAAGATGCATGGTCTCTTCAAGGTACTTCAAATGATCTCTGTGTATTAGCAATAACTGTTTATTTTATTTTTTTGTCTTTGATGTAGATTTGGCAACAGTAGTATTTTTTATTCAGAAGCAAAATTTACCCAGTATTCTATAACAGAAGGACATTTTCTATAATGTTAGGAATGAAAACCCCAGTATTATAGATAGGGAAACAGGCTCAAAGAACTATGACTTTTTGATTAAGTTCAAATAGCTAGGAAGGTGATGTCAGGACTTTCAGTAGGTTAATGATGGTCTCTTCTCTGTTTTCTATTCTCTTTCTGGTTTATCTCAGATAAGATAGTCTATGAAAGAATTCTTCATGCATTAATGAAGTAAAATGGGATATGCACAAAAGTAAATGTTATAAATATTATAATTTTTAATTATTTAAGGTATTTGAGATGTGCTTACTGAACATGCTTTTGGGTTTCTCATATTGTACATGTGGATGGATAGCTGGCTGTCATATTTTAACATATAAATATGATAGAGTGAATATGACATTGTATATATAGATGGATTAATATATCTGTATTCTTCTGGTGAATGTTAATAGTCATAAATAGAACATAATAGTCATTATATTGTCAATGGTCTTAATATGAGATGTAGAGGAAATATTTTAAGGAACTTGGTGATCATTTAATCAAGATCAGATTCAGAGGTAAAAACTTAATTAGCCAATATCTTATTTATATCACAGCATTATTTTAAGACTGATATTAATTTTTGTGTTTTCAGTGCCTTCCATTTTGGCCCGAAAATTTGTCAGGCAAACTTTGTGTGAGAGTGGTGGGCTGTGAAGGATCCTCCAAACCATTCTTTTATAACCAACAGGATAATGGCACTTTGTTGAGTTTAGAAGATCTTGTAAGTTTTTATATTTTAAAATAAAATGTCTTTTTAAAAATTTTTGCTTCACGCATTTCACTGAACCATGCTATAAAAATTTAGTGTTAATTATTTGAAGATGCTGCTATATCAATATATAATGCCTTATGAATGTATGTAAGAAATCAGAGCCAGTTTGCTTTTCAGTAAGAACTTAAGAAAAAGCCTTTGTATTTACATAACTGATTGAAATTACATATGTAAGTGAGGTTAAACCAATACATGGCATATGTACTTTTTTTCCCTACAACAGAATGGAGGTATATTGGTGGATGTTAACACTGCTGAACATTCAACTGTCATAACCTTTTCTGATTACCATGAGGGATCTGCACCCGCCCTGATAATAAACCATACACCATGGGACATCCTCACATATAAACAGAGGTATGAAAGGGGATTGATGGAAACTCTGGCTTTTATTGGGCCACAGTACCTTCTGAGATACATTTAGCTTTCACATACCACATGGTCTCAGATTTTAGAAAGGTCATGTGGAGCATGTGTTGCTTATTATTAATACCCTGGTCATGTCTTGAGACAGTATTCTATAATGAAACACATTAATATTTATGCATGAAAACTTATGAATATTCACACTAGGTGGAATAAAATTAAAACTATTAATAGTTTCACATCAATTCAAATTAGGTTCTACTGCCAACTTTTTTTTTAATTTTTAAAATTTGTTTTAATTAGCTATACATGACAGTAGAATGAACTTTGATACATCATATATAATGGAGTATAATTTCTCATTCTTCTGGTTGTACATGTTGAAGCATCACACTGGTTGTATAGTTATATATGTATATAGGGTAATCATGTCTGATTCATTCTATTCTTCCTACCCCTATACGTCCTCCCCTCCATTTACTCCTGTCTACCTAAAGTAACTTTATTCTTTTCACAACGACCCCCCTATTGCAAATTAGCATCCTCATATCAGAGAAAACATTCCACTTTTGTTTTTTTTTTAGTGTTAGCTTATTTCACTTAGCATGATCTTCTCCAGCTCCATCCATTTATCAGCAAATGCCATAATTTCATTCTTCTTTAAGATTAATATTTCATTATATTATATGTATAGTATATACACACACTTATACACACATATCATATTATATACATGTGTATATATATTATACATATGATATATATACCAAAATTGTTTTTATTCAGTCATCTATTAAAACAAACCTAAATTGGTTCTATAATTTAGCTATTGTGAATTGAGCTGCTTATAAACATTGATATGGCTGCATCATTGTAATATGTTGATTTTAAGTCTTTTGGGTATAAACCAAGGAGTGGGATAGCTGGGTCAAATGGTGGTTCCATTCCAGGTTTTCTGAGGAATCTGCATACTGCTTTCCATAGTGATTGCAGCAATTTGCAGTCCCACCAGCAATGTATGAGTGTACCTTTTTCACCACATCCTTGCCAACATTTATTGTTGCCTGTGTTCTTGATGATTGCCATTCTGTCAAGAGTGAGAATGAAATCTTAGAGTAGTTTTGATTTGCATTTCTCTAATTGATAGAGATATTGAACATTTGTTCATATATTTGTTGATTGATTGTATTTTCTTCTGTGAAGTTTCTGTTCAGTTCCTTAGCGTATTTATTGATTGGGTTATTTGTGGGGTTTTTTTGTGTGTGTTAAGTTTTTTTGAGTTCTTTATATATTCTTAAGATAAATACTCTATCTCAGGTGGGTATGCTAAAGATTTTCTTCCATTCTGTAGCCTCTCTCTTCACATTATCGATTGTTTCCTTTGCTATGAAGAACCTTTTTAGTTTGAATCCTTCCCATTTATTGATTCAATCACTTCTTACACCTTAGGAATCTTATTAAGTAAGTCAGATCCCAGGCTGACATGGTGAAGATTTGGGACTATTTTTTCTTCTATTAGGTGCAGAGTCTCTGGTCTAGTGCCTATGTCTTTGATCCATTTTGAATTTTGTGTGGGGTGAGAGATAAGGGTTTAATTTCATTTTGTTACATGTGGATTTCCAGTTTTCCCAGCACCATTTAATGAACAGGTTTTCTTTTCTCCATTGAGTGTTTTTGGTGCTTTTGTCTAGTATGAGATAACTATATTTATGTGGGTTTGTCTCTGTGTCTTCTATTCTGTACCATTGGTCTACGTGTCTGTTTTGGTGCTAATATCATGCTGTTTTTGTTACTATGGCTCTGTAGTATAGTTTAAGATCTGATATTGTGATGCCTCCTCCTTTACTCTTCTTGCTAAAGATTGCTTTGGCTATTTGGAGTTTTTAATTTTTCTGAATGAATGTCACGATTGCTTTTTTCTTTTTTTAAGAATTTAATCTTTATTTATTTGTTGTTGTTTATTTATTTATTTATTTATTTATATATTTTATTTTATTTTATTTTATTTTTTTTTTTTTAATTTTTTATTGTGGGTTGTTCAAAACATTACAAATTTCTTGACATATCATATTCCACACTTTGATTCTAGTGGGTTATGAACTCCCACCTTCACCCCATACACAGATTGCAGATTCACATCAGTTACACATCCATTGATTTACAAATTGCCATACTAGTGTCTGTTGTGCTCCGCTGCCTTTCCCATCATCCACCCTCCCCCCTCCCCACCTCTCCCCTCCCCTCCCCTCCTCTCTCTCTACCCCCTCCACTGTATAACCCTGAGGGTCTCCTTCCATTACCGTGCAATTTACCTTCTCTCTCCCTTTCCCTCCCACCTCTCATCCCTGTTAAATGTTAATCTTCTTCTCCTGTTCTTCGTCCCTACTCTGTTCTTAGTTACTTTCCTTATATCAAAGAAGACATTTGGCATTTGTTTTTTAGGGATTGGCTAGCTTCACTTAGCATAATCTGCTCTAATGCCATCCATTTCCCTGTAAATTCTATGATTTTGTCATTTTTTAATGCAGAGTAATACTCCATTGTGTATAAATGCCACATTTTTTTTATCCATTCGTCTATTGAAGGGCATCTAGGTTGGTTCCACAGTCTTGCTATTGTGAACTGTGCTGCTATGAACATCGATGTAGCAGTGTCCCTGTAGCATGCTCTTTTTAGGTCTTTAGGGAATAGACCAAGAAGGGGAATAGCTGGGTCAAATGGTGGCTCCATTCCCAGCTTTCCAAGAAATCTCCATACTGCTTTCCAAATTGGCTGCACCAATCTGCAGTCCCACCAGCAATGTACAAGTGTACCCTTTTCCCCACATCCTCGCCAGCACTTGTTGTTGTT